AGAGGTATTTGAAGTTGAAATGCCGCATTTGAAAGCAGGTCGTGTATACTTGATCGGAGAAAACCATATATGTATTAACTGACCTATCTTCTCACCCACCCACCCACCCACCTGCCTGTATGCGCCTTTGTACATCTGCTTCATGAACGCCAGCTGGTTGTCCATTCATCCACCCACCCTATAATATATCTTCTTTTTTTTTTTTGTCGTTGTCTATCTCTACTGCCTGCAGATTTTTTCTGTACTGGTATCGCAGTTTTCCTAATGGGACTACTACATGCACAGTATGATAGTACATGTACCCATTTATATGTCTAAGAGTGTCACTTACCCTTCTAGATTTCGGCCATAATGGGTTGTTTTTTTCATAATGTAGAGATTTTTATGCCATCGACCCAAATTGGATCATTTAGGAGGCAGGCTTCCAATACTGCCTGCCAGGGTCAACCCATGCTGAGGACATAACATCCAAGCAGAAAGATCAAGATATTCTCTAAAAACAGTGGGGTAAATTTACATTAGAGAAACAAGAACCATACAAATGCAGGCAGTTGGAATATGGCCGTGTAAAGGAAAAAATACTATGTTTATGATAGAGGCGTTCTTTTTTATATACTAGTAAAACCTGGCGTTACGCGGGGTTGGCCGTACAACGAGGTTCGACTAATTCAATATGAAAACGAGCTTAAGTGAAGGCATGACTGTTATTTCTGCACACTTCTCCAATTCTTCACACAACGCTGTTTTGCGGAAAGTGTACAGAACAAAGTAAGGGGTAAGATTAAGAAATCACAAGGACAAGAAGGGCCACATGTCTGACACCCGTGACGTCAGTGCCACGAATTCCTGTATTGCTACCTTGAGGTAACTATTACCAAAGATAGTGAATAACAAGATGGGCCACTCAGCCTAAAAAGTGTCCGCAGGAAGTATGCTCTTTGCTTCAGATGGCGCTGCAGTCTGTTTTGAAGCTCTCTTTCGTTTGTCCAGAAGAAGAATAGGAATAGCACCTCCTTGCGTGCGCAGATCGACTGCTGTTCATCAGCAGTTCGGGTACGTTCAGTGCGGAGTTTTAGTTTTTTAAAATTTTAATGACCTCTCTCCTTTCATTCTAAAGTCAAATTAAACGAAGAAAACAATCACCCTTTCCTCTGGTAGAGGTTTTTTGTCAGCGTAACCATTTTAAAAAAGCGTTCTTCCGAAATTTATCCCAAAACTTGCTAGTTTCACCAAAGATAGTACAAGACAAGATGGGCCACTTCTCTCTTTGAGCCAATTAAAAAAGTGTCCTCAAAATTTGGTGGCGCCCTCTTCACAAAAGCGCACTCTTTGCGAACAGAGTTACCCTACTTGAGTTTTAAAAAATAAAAGTGAAACTAGCAAGTTTTGGGACAAATTTCGGAAGAACGCTTTTTAAAAATGATTACGCTGACAAAAAACCTTTTCCGGAGGAAAAGGAGATGGTTTTCTTCGTTTAATTTGACTTTAGAATGAAGGGCGAGAGGTCATTAAAATTCTAAAAAACCTAAAACTCCGCACTGAACATACCCGAACTGCTGATGAACAGCAGTCGATCTGCGCACGCAAGGAGGTGCTATTCCTATTCTTCTTCTGGAAAAACGAAAGAGAGCTTCAAAACAGACTGCAGCGCCATCTGAAGCAAAGAGCATACTTCCTGCGGACACTTTTTAGGCTGAGTGGCCCATCTTGTCTTGTACTATCTTTGGTTTCACTTTGATTTTTTAAAACTCAAGTAGGGTAACTCTGTTCGCAAAGAGTGCGCTTTTGTGAAGAGGGCGCCACCAAATTTTGAGGACACTTTTTTAATTGGCTCAAAGAGAGAAGTGGCCCATCTTGTTATGTACTATCATTGCTATTACTCCAAGATTGCTACCTCTTTTATTGTCTGTACCAGCGAGAAAAAAAACCCCACAGTAACACAAAAGGGCGCCGTAGGCCGAGTAGGTAGATGTATCCCGCTGAGTTGTAATTCAGCTGACCGTAGATCGCATCTCGACAGAAGCAATCTCAAAACAGTCATTTGACAACTTTTCGTGACTGCCCACCCACATGGCTCAGTCCTATCGAAGACAAACGTTTGACTTTTGGCAGGTTGTTTTTACTTTTAGTAAAAGTTTTACGGCTTTTGCAACAGAAATAAGTTCTAATAATAAGTGCCGAGGATAAGGTTTAGACGTGTTGCTAGACAGTGTATACGAAGAAAAGAAGAAGCAAGATAAAGACGATAGATGTTTGACAGGAAAGAAAGAGTAAACCACACCAAAACACAAGCCAACCACCCACCAACCGGAATTCCAGCCCCTCTATAAATAGCTACAGTACCTAAAAGACGTTGAACAATGCATACTTCAGGTGCACTGGTCTAACCTAAAGCGTAGCACACTTTTTAAAAAAGTTTTAGTAAGAGATTTACAGCACTTGCAAAACAATAAGGTCATATAAGTCCCGAAGATTAGAGGTGTTACAATTGAGTAACATACACAAAAAAGGAGGAGAGATCAGAATGACAGATGTTTGATAGGAAAGAAGGAGCAAACCACACCAGAGCACCCACCAACCACCTACGTAGCACATTTTACACGCACTAGCCCATCCTATAGTACACTGAATGTGCACTAGTTTGTCTGTTTGAGTAGCAGTAGGCAGTAAAGAGAAGCACATTGATACAATAACGGTCATTTACTGCTGGGGAAAAGTATACAGCCAGAGAAACAACAGAGGGAAAGTAAAGAAGTAGGACCAACAAGTGGCACCCTATAACCACCCGCCGTATATACACTACTAGTACGAGTGACACCTACCTATAGCTCACCATACGTGCACCATTTTAACCTGTAGCACACTATTCATGCACTAGTCTGACCTCTAACATAATATTACTATTACTATGCGTGCACCAGTCCAACCTATAGCACACTATTACTATACGTGCACTCGTCTAACCCACAGCACACTATACGTGCACTGGTCTAACCCACAGGCAGAACACTATACGTGCACTGGTCTAACCCACAGGCAGAACACTATACGTGCACTGGTCTAACCCACAACCCACTATACGTGCACTGGTCTAACCCACAGGCAGAACACTATACGTGCACTGGTCTAACCCACAGGCAGAACACTATACGTGCACTGGTCTAACCCACAGGCAGAACACTATACGTGCACTGGTCTAACCCACAACACACTATACGTGCACTGGTCTAACCCACAGGCAGAACACTATACGTGCACTGGTCTAACCCACAGGCAGAACACTATATGTGCACTGGTCTAAAACACAACACACTATACGTGCACTGGTCTAACCCACAGGCAGAACACTATATGTGCACTGGTCTAACCCACAACACACTATAAGTGCACTGGTCTAACCCACAACACACTATACGTGCACTGGTCTAACCCACAACACACTATACGTGCACTGGTCTAACCCACAGCCCACTATACGTGCACTGGTCTAACCCACAGGCAGAACACTATACGTGCACTGGTCTAACCCACAGCACACTATACGTGCACTGGTCTAACCCACAGACCACTATACGTGCACTGGTCTAACCCACAGGCAGAACACTATACGTGCACTGGTCTAACCCACAGCCCACTATACGTGCACTGGTCTAACCCACAGGCAGAACACTATACGTGCACTGGTCTAACCCACAGCCCACTATACGTGCACTGGTCTAACCCACAGGCAGCACACTATACGGGCACTGGTCTAATCCACAGGCAGAACACTATACGTGCACTGGTCTAACCCACAGGCAGAACACTATACGTGCACTGGTCTAACCCACAGGCAGAACACTATACGTGCACTGGTCTAACCCACAGCACACTATACGTGCACTGGTCTAACCCACAGCCCACTATATGTGCACTGGTCTAACCCACAGGCAGAACACTATACGTGCACTGTCTAACCCACAGCCCACTATACGTGCACTGGTCTAACCCACAGGCAGAACACTATACGGGCACTGGTCTAACCCACAGGCAGAACACTATACATGCACTGGTCTACCCCACAGGCAGAACACTATACGTGCACTGGTCTAACCCACAGCACACTATACGTGCACTGGTCTAACCCACAGGCAGAACACTATACGTGCACTGGTCTAACCCACAGCCCACTATACGTACACTGGTCTAACCCACAGCCCACTATACGTGCACTGGTCTAACCCACAGGCAGAACACTATACGTGCACTGGTCTAACCCACAGCCCACTATACGTACACTGGTCTAACCCACAGCCCACTATACGTGCACTGGTCTAACCCACAGGCAGAACACTATACGTGCACTGGTCTAACCCACAGGCAGAACACTATACGTGCACTGGTCTAACCCACAGCACACTATACGTGCACTGGTCTAACCCACAGCACACTATACGTGCACTAGTCCACATGTCACAACTATGGCCTCTAGTTCTGCAGACACAGAAAGACGACAGACAGAAATGAAGTAGAACGATTGGTTTGTTATTTATTTTCATTATCTTTAGTCACGGAGGCCTCTTTCTCTCTACTCTTCCCTCATGGTGTCTACAGCGAGGATAACCCGTATATACGTTACAGGTCGCTGAACCTCCTACACTTTCTTTTTCTATGTCAGTACCTTCTATCTGTATGTATGTTTCTGATTGTCCAATTACAAATGTTGTCTGTAGCAGCAGATGACAGCATGCAGAAGACAGGAGGTGACATCCAAATTGAAATAGTCTGAGTGGTGCACCTCAATTACTCAGCCATGTAACAGTTAAACTTTTTAACAGTTGAGAGTTTCTTGCAAGTGTTTGCACCAACCATGAGGCATACAGTGCAAGTTGCGTATGTCACACACTCAAACACGAACAAACTAACAAGATCTTTCGCCGCCTATATAGCATCATACATGCTAACACACATCCATGCAAAACCAATTCTTCAAAACAAAATTGAATGTATACGAATGCGCTCTATATTCAGAGAAAAAAAAATTTATTGATTAAATCATTTTCATTGCTGTCCAAAGACAAAGTATCAACAACAGGAGTCATTACAATGTACATTAAGAATGACAGAACCCTCAGGTCCACAAAGTAATCCTCTCAACTACAATCCTCCATCCATCACGATTCAACCACATGAAAAAAAACCAAACTTTTTTGTGCCGATAATATAACTGGTGCCACAACCTTTCAGCTGTCTTGTAAGGCATTAAGACTCAAACAGAAACAAAAACTTCCTCCAAGCAAACAACCTTGCAAGTCATTTCACCTCATTAAGAAAACAATATCCAGCCCCCTGTCAGTTTTATCATTAAGAGAGAAACTAGTTTCCAGTCAAAATTTTAACTGGATTTGGCTGAAAACTTTGTTAAGACCCCCACAGGTGATGACAATGTCTCAACTTTCACTTTATAAAACAGAAGCAAAGCAGGTCTTCCACAGAAAAAAGCTAAGAATTTGACCGTCAACTGATGAGAAAGTTTCTGTTTCCCTCTCATTTTTATCCGACAGATCAAAGTCTTGAGCAATTCATTAAACCTTGGAACAGCTCATTAAAAAGCAGTAAAGTATCACAAGGAACCCCCCTCCCGCTTTCCTCCAAATGAACAATACACGGGTTATCAATCACGTCAAAGCTTTGACAATCTACAATTTATAAACTGAGCAATAATCCTCATGTCTCTGGAACAACCAAGTTCATTGCTATCAAGAACAGGAATCTACACAGGAAATGCACCAGTCACAGAACGGAGATTTAAAAACAAAACCCAACTTTTAGCTACAAAATACACCAGAGGACATTTGAGCCATGGTCCCCAGACATCTTAGTATTCTTACTACATACACATCTTGCATATTTTCAAGAAAAAACTACCGCACTTGTTTATATGTAAATCCACAGGGATGATGATGAGCCTATAATGACAGCCAACAATTCATTGATATCATTCATCAGTTTTACAACATTCCAGTTTAGCAAAAACAGTATTGGATGGACATGGTAGGGATTAGGAAAGGGATGAAGAAGCAGAAGAAGAGAACATTCTTCTCACAGTTCAATGATCATGACTGAACATGACTGAAAGAAAAAATACATCATTAAGTTTTCCCATGACATCACACCATATAACACATTCATTTATATTCAAACTTTGCTAACGTTACCTCAATATTAGCAACTGTGTGGTCTGTTTCATATTTCAAATCAAACAATGCAACCGCTAAAAAAATGACAATATAAAAAAATCCCTAACAGCATGAACTCAATATTGTAATATATAAAACATGTGCACCATGGGTAGCAGTAATGCAGCAACGCATCCCATTATAAAACATCATCCACATACAACCTTGCACTTCACTATCTCAAAGACCATTCTGCTGACTACACCAAATAAGTCACTCCACACCTATTAAACCTCCTTCATTCCAATGACAAACACACCAGAAAACCTGTCATGACACAAATTAATTACAGTAAATATTTTGTCTGTCAAATTTATATGATGTATAAGGCATCCCCACACCAAAGTCTGCCCAAGACATCAAAACAAAAGAATCACAAAATTGTTGAACTTCAAACAAACTGGTGCTAATTAGTTTAAGGGGTAAAACAAAGCCTCCCATAATTTGTAATCAACAGGCGCAGCCCTAGTGACATCGACCTGTGAACTGAGTTAACAGTCACAGTGGTCTAAATATACCATTCATAGTCCCGTCTAGTCTAGAGTCTTGAGGCATCAACAGTTAAACCCCACTACACTACACGCATTCTCTTCTTGAAAGCTCTCGCCCTGCATTTGCACAAGACAACTGACCATAAATCTATACTTAGGTCCACAACCCAATCAAATGGTGTTATCCAGAAAAGCCAACAGAGGCATACTGGCACTGAAAGTAGTGCTGAACAAAACGAGTATATCCATTTTGAAAATTCTCGCCACAAAAACAAAAAAAAAGAGCACTGTAGATGAGACAATTTTATACAAGTTCAAAACCTCACTTTCTTTCATTCAGAGAACTCAGCACATTCAACAAAATGTTGCACAAGAAAACTGTTAAGGACTCTCTTTAGGTGACTGTGCACAGTAAATTTAAAAAACAGACTTCTTAATACCTAAAGGGAAGACCTCAGTAGCGTGAAGTACAAAGCTGAACAAATTGAAATTTGGTCTTCTGGTATTTGCCATGCTACACCCCATTTTTAAAAAAAGAAAAAAGACTTCAATTCAAAAAAGAGTTTGCGAGCAGGACTTGAAAAAAAACACCAGATAAGTACATAGGTAAGAGATTAGTACCCTCCTGCATTATCTTTTATGTCTCGTGACATTAACACACTTGTCACTGGGACGATACCTATTAAAATACTCAAAATCTAAATCGTCGGTTTTAAAGAAAGAGGCAGTTTTCCCACTATCATGCTTGCTCCAGGCCTCACAGTCGGTGGGTGACTTTGGGTTTTTAAAAATGTTTTCCCACTCATGATCCTGGGACATTATGGATGCCTATTCTTCTCAGAAAAGGAAAAAAACATTTTACGTGCACAATAACGACACATTAACAGTTAAAACTAACTAGAGCAGAACTGGCCATGCGAACCTCAAAAGAAATCACTTCTACAAATAGAAGCCTTCATCTTTACAAACAAAAGAAACTTTGCAAATGGCATGTTGCAGCCTTGCTAGGCAAGGGACACAGCACTCTAGAGAGGAAATAGGCCATGTACATCCATGTCAGTTTAACAGCAAGTAGTAAAACTTGCAGAGGACCATCCCTGAGTTCTAACAAGGGAACGCAGAAGTGAACTTGTGATCCTTTAAGCCCTCCAAAAGCTCCTGTACAGGTAGATGGTTGGAGGGGGGGAAAATAAATGCCACAGAGAAATGTGAAAGAGCTTAAACTCAACAAGAAACCATAAACACTGACAGTTAATTGATGGGAAACAAATGAGGAGAGCACATGTGAGTCTGCAGTAGGAAAAAGGTCTGGTCTAAAGCTACAGCACTGATTTTAAAAAAAACAACTTGCAGAAAAGAGGAATCTGGGAGGGGGGCAGGCAGGGCAGGTTGTGCATGACAAAGAAAACAATGGCAGTAACTCAGCAGGACACAATGACACATTCTAAATATATGACACAAATACATACTCCAATCATTAAACTGTTGTCAGAAAATAAGTCTTCCACACCACTAGAAACTCTGAGTTTGAAACTTTCTCTGCATTGTACTTCGCAAGTTGTTTTGATCCCCGGTTAAGTAATAGAGGCAACAGCAAAAGACAAAGACAAGATTCCATTTTTATTCAAGAATAGTAAGGCTAAAGAGAAGTTAAAATGATGGGATGTTTTGTACAAAGAGTGGCACTCTTTTCAATAAATTGGGGACGGGGTGGGGAGAGAAAAGGAAAAAAAAACCCTCAACAACATCAACAACAAATTCATTTAAAAGGCTTCCAGCAAAGATCATTGCAATTTGAACTTTTTGCGAGCAATAGCATCCTCTACGGCCTTGAGCTGCTTGAGGAGCTCCTCCCGTCTGGACGACATGCTCTTTTTGGCCTTAGCCCCCGTCGCACTGGCAGTCGGGGCAGCCGCTAGGGGCACTTTTGGAGCAGGCTTCCCCACGGCAGGCTCGGCCACGCGTGGCTTTGAGCTGCTGCTGCTACTGGCTTGTTTTTGAGGCGACACAGCGGCTTTAGCCCTCTGTGCTGCAGCAGAAGAGGATGATGGAGGCATGGAAACAGGCGGAGGGGACTTGCCTTTCTCTTGGCGCAGCTGAATTTTGGCTGCTTTCTCTGTTAGAAGGTAAGAAGTACAAATAAATTCTTTTAAACAAACATCAAAAGTGGAATGACTACAGGTCAAATATCTTTTAAAATGAGAAGTATTTGAAAAAACACAAGGAAAATTCTTGGCACTTAAAAAAGAAAGAAGGAGCTTAATCCTTTTCGTTGCCAGAGGGTATGCGTTCCTATTGTCAGCACTGATTTTCAGCTGAGCTCGTTATCCAGGACAGCAGACTCATGTCTTAGTGTTAATGGACGCGCAATTTTCTCCCACCTGCCATTCCATGTTTCCCCTTCATCTTCCCCATAATACTTCAAATAACTTGCAAATCTAAGCCAAAAAAAGAATTTACTCGTCTTTTTGAAGTCATTATTTTTATGTTTACGTTTTGCGAGAGCACGCGGCCACGCACAAGCCTAGATCTGCATTTATCTATTGCTTTCAAACCTAGAAGTAATGTAATACTAGAAAATGTGGTACCGATATGTGCGTCATATTCCCGAATACAAACCCATGCAGTACTTGTGGCTTAAACTCCATGCAGAAGAAATAGAGCCATGTGATTAGCGTGCCATATGGGTAACGTTACGCAAGCAATCAGCAGCAAATTATGCCAACTTTCATGATGAACAGGGTACAGCACACAGCCAAAAATTGTGCATTTTCATGACGTATCAGGTACCTCATACGGCAACGAAGGGATTAAAAAAGGTGAGTCAGAAGAGTCATCACTGGAGGTTGCATGGAAATAATCAGTGTACGAATATATGTGCAAGTACATGACTAGTACAGACAAACATTTTAAATGGTTCAATAGCAACATACAATTAACATTTTCATCGGAGTCCATTTATTATCAGGGTACCTGTACTTGTTAAGTTACAAAGAAGACAAATGGTTGTTCTTTTCCAAAATTTTTAGTAGAAATGCAAATAAATTATGACGAAGCAATTGCTTATACACATATCAATTTCTGTACTTGAAGTGAGCTGCAAGACACTGCAAATTACATGAATACAATACAAACTTTCTCTGAAACTTGTCATATCAGATTAAAAAAGAAATTTTAAAGTTTGATACAGGGAAAAAATCCCGCTACAAAAAAATAGTACTAATGTCCATCCCACTGTGTTCATGACTTACATCATTCTTTGTTTTGTTTTAGCAGATGTTTTTAGTTTAGTTTTAGTAAGAGTTTTACGGCACTTGCAACACGATAAGGTCATATAAGTGCCGAAGAATAGATGTGTTACAAGAGAGTAACAAACATAAAAAAGAAGGAGGGGAGATAAAGATGATAGTTGTTTGATAGGAAAGAAGAAGCAAACCACACCAGAGCACCCACCAACCACCCACCTTACAGCATTCTTTGTTTTGTTTTGTTTAGTATAGGGTTTTACGGCGCTCGCAACTGCATAAGGTCATATGAGCGCGCGGGACACACGTAATACTTTTTCGTTGGTAGGAAATTTTGAATTTTGCGCGGGTGGCGGCCGAAGCCTACTCTTATCGATTTTAGACCACCAAGGGATCTTTAACGTGCGCAACTTGCACACAGGCCCTCCGAGATTTTTCGCCCTTGTCCGAGAAGGCTAGGTGTAGATCTTTCCTACCAGAAGATCAGGGGTGTGGCAGAAAGACAGCAGTTAGGAGGAGCCAAGGAGTAGCAGTAGAAAGGCTGCAGTAAGAGTCAGGAGCCCAGAGCAAAGGAGGTGAGGGGGTGGGGGCAGAAAGTGGAAATGAAAGCAGACAACAGAACATTGTTAGAGATCAGGAAAGGGTGTGAAAGGAGACAATTTTAGAGAAGAAAATTTTTTGGTCGCTACCCGGAATCGAACCCGGGACCTTTGAATGAGAGGCCAACACCTTAACCTCTAGGCCACGAGAGCCCCCACAGCATTCTGCACTTGACAAAACCTCCAAATACCATATAACTATCAACACCACACATAATCCTTGAATATGGGACACGTGCCATTTGTCCAGAAAAAAGGATTGTTCTTCATTCTGTATTTTTCAATTATGTCTTAAGCAGCTCTATTTGCATGTGTTAAAAAGACTTATATAACATGCGAGTAACAATTGCTGATCCAGTCAGACACAGGTGTGCTAGAGTCCAGTAACAAAACTCTTCTTGGAGGGAGAGTCCCCACAAGAAAAGCCACCCAAGCGCAAACAGAATTTCCTAAACTTACTGTAACTAAGTAAAAGAAATCTAGACACCAAATACAGACAGGGCTGACACAAAATATCAAATTAGAAATAAAGAGGCAAGACCATTCCAAATTTCTTTAAAAATAGCACAACTAGTCCCATAAAAAGGTTAGATGTATCAATGATGTTGAGTGTAAAGTGACTCATCTATTATTTTCCTTAAGGGGTTTCAAATCAGTGTATATGGCTCTAAAACATAAACAGATGACTGTTTACCTTAATTGAAAGAAATACGATATTACAGCTCTAAAGTTTCTTTAATCCTGTGAGCACAAGCCCATGCCTCAGCGCTCTGAACCTTTGCCATTCTACAGAACAAACACACAGCTCAAGTGCGAGCCCTCTGTAGGCTCAGGGCCCACTGCTCAATGGATCACACTCAAGTAATTCTTCCAATTTTCCAGTAAACTAAGCTCTCCCAGATTTAAATACTTAGCGCAAGTCAAAAAAATACGTCGACATGTACAAAATAGGTAGATGTACCTGTTGCAATTCTCAAAGCTGAGGCTTGTGGCACAGGTAGGGCAGGTCTCTTGGCAGGCGGAGCAGAAGGTGGGGAAGAGTCCCGGTCTGACAGCCTTCTTTTGTGTGGGGGAGAGTCCAGGGGGTTTGGTCGGCTGCCTAAACCAGACTGCTGTTGCTGCTGTTGTGTGTGTGGAGGTGTGGAGGGGGGGGGGGGAGGGAGAATGAAGACAGAGATAGCAAAAATGAAAAGTGAGAGATAAATGGAGGCAATCTATTGGTTTATCGGTGTCCAATGCTTCTACAGGTGTAAAGGATAATGTTACTCATGACACGACACCGGTCCAGAATCTATTTAAGAACATTTACACACCTAAGCCTAACTGCTGTTGATGCTGCTCTATAGAGAAGAAAGCAAAAACAGAGATGAATGGAGGAACTTTGTTGATGTCCTATGCCCCCACTGGAGTAAAGGGTAAAAACTTGACTCAAGACAAAGACAGAGGCCAGGGGCCAGGGGCCAGGGGCCAGGGGCCAGGGGCCAGGGGCCTGGGGCCAAGAATCTATTAAACAACTTTTATACGCCTAAATCTACACACACTTAGGGCTTATTACCTTCGGCAGCAGTGTAAGCTTTATGTTTGACTTTTGGCCCACCACCTTGAGTGGGTCCTTGGCCTTCACTGGTGCCTGCGGAGCATTGCGACTGGCATATTTGGACTCCTGCCGCGTGGACGGAGGGGGAGGTTGGCCTGACTTTGATTCTCTTGGGTGAGGAATCCTATCCAGGCCCCCCGAAGCCTGCGAGGGAGGCTGCTGAGATGGGTATTTCTGTGAGGCTGGGCCACCTGGTAATGGTCCACCTTTAGGACCGGGCCGCTCCTTGTGGCTGTTTGCTGTTGACATTATATGTTTTCTTTTTATTCTAGTATTTTGCTACTTAGTGGAGAAGCAAATACTGGAAAGAAAGTGTGAAGATAGAAACAAGTATATAAAGTAAAACAAAACATTGGAGAACTACAAATCTTAAAACAATCCCCATGATTAAGGCAAACTTTGTCAAAATATGAGCCAGTTTTTGGAACTATACATTAATTTATCTGTATGTCATACAATTTTCTGTTTTCTCCTCAGTGAGTTCATGACCCCCGCACTCAGGGCCAGATTACAAGGCTGCCTTCCTAAATGCAATGAGCATTGAAAGGATTAAAGAATGAAGACTTTAGAACAAAGACAAAAATTCTCTAAACTGTTCATCAATACAGGAAAATCTCATTAAAGATGTACTAAAGGATTCATTACTGCAAGCGGCATATACGAGAGCAGCAGATTTTTCTCATATACCATCACAACATCTCCCTGAACAGGATAAACAATACCCCCCCCGGAAAATAAAAGCCAAAAAATACTTACATCTTTTCTTTTTTGGAGCTCCAGACGTTGGACCACGAGGGGGTTTAGTGGGGCTCCCAAGGTCTCGATACAAGTGCTCAGAATCAGCGCTGCCGGCGGAGGAGCTCGAGGAAGAGCTGGACCGAGAGGAATTGGAGCTGGACCTGGAGCGTGACCGTGAGCGAGAAGAGTCCGAGAAGCGGCTGCGGCTTCGAGAGCGAGATCTACTGGAACTTGAGCGACTGCTGACACTTTTAGGCCGAGGTCTAGTTCGGGGGCAGGAGAGAAAAAAAAAGGGTGAATACTTTCATTACTGTATCAGATCTAAGTGTTTCATACATCTAAATGGAGTACAAATGACAATACAAATTAAAAGTGAATCTCAAGCGTGCTCATAACAAGACTTCTAAATCAATCCTGCCAAACTTAACCTCCTGATCTAGACCTACAATCATTAACATGACCAAAAATAGTTTCCCTCAGAATTCCACCTCCCCCCCCCCCCCCAGCGAAAAAAGGAAGGAGTGGAGCAAAGGAATCCAACTTCCCCACACCCTTTGAAGTTCGATTTCTTATAAACCCTTAGGCCAATCCCGGTTTTGGGGGAAAGGGGCGACAACCTAATTTTTTAAAGAACTTGATCTTGTGAAAAACTTTTTAATAATTTTTCCCCTAAAATTCCCCCCCCCCCCCCCCCCCCCCCCCAAAATAAATCAGACTGTGGCGGAATAAAGCTCAGCCTCCGAAACCCAGTAGATTCAGATTGCCTTACAAACCCATTAAGGCTAATACAAGTGTTTAGCGAATACAGTGCGTTAAACTAAATTTGTACAAGACATTGTACTGTGTAAAAGTCTTTTTATAAGCTGCCCCTGGGCTTGTGCACCCCCCCCCCCCCAAACAATGAAAAGAATGTTAAAATCTTTATTAACTATTCAGAAATGCAAACTCAATGTAAACTAAGCTCTAAGTTACATAAAAATTAGATCACTTTAAAGGTAAAGGCATGACAGTAGCAGCACCATCTGAGAAACAGTAAGCATCTTCCGAAACAATATGTCTCATTCCAAACATCCAAGTCAGGGCAGCACTACAATACAACAGCTTCAAATACAGCCAACATGTTTGAAACTGGGTCTCAAATTTGTTAAAACAATCCGAAATAAAGCTTTCATAAAGCTATCACACTGAAGACAAGGCACATAATACCCCGACAAGACAGACAGCAAAGAGACAATATTTATTGGAAAGCAAGAATATAGAGCCCATTCCAAATCAAACTAACAGTCTCCGAATCAAGTGAGCCACATCAGCCAAGAGATGCCCATTGTAGTCTACAGAACACAATGAATAAGAAAATGACTTGGAACACAGTTCAATGCTAACTGCAGCAGGTTTTCAAAACGCTCTTACCTCACATAAGGCAAAGGCCTGTCCGGAGGAGAGCGACCCCGATTCCTTCCAAAACGATCCTCCCTGCCGCCGCGACCAGCTCTTGGGTCTCTCGGATCTCGATGATCACCACCACCACCACCACCGCCGCCTGGACCACCGTAATTGTTGTAGTAGCCACCACCACCACCACCACCCTCTCCACGATATCCTCCGCCAGGTCGATAGCCAGGAGCCATGTTGCGATCGAAGCCTCTGTGATTTCTGGAGCCTCTGAATCCCCCGTGGTCGTAGTTGTTGTATCCTCCACGGCCCCGAACTGATACTGCACTTCGGGGTTGGTCTCTGGTGAAAGTACACACCAAAATAAAGGCTATGAAAAAAAACCCAACTGCGTTCACTTGAAGTTGGAGGATTTTTAGAGGACAGTTGTGTGTGATCACACGACTGCAATCTCTTTATCAGAAAACACTTACAAAGTAGTATAATAAACCAGCTTTTGTTTGCATATCTAAATTGCTATACACACAACTGTCAATGCACAACATTTATGAGGAATATAACACTACAGTCACACAATTCAACTTTTCAGCTCGTCTTTTCAAACCCAATTCAGAAACTGCATTTCATAATAAAATCCCACTGTTACAAACATGAAAGTTAGAGGCCCTTCACAGAAACTGAAGGGATATATACAAAAAGATGAAAACCCAAAATCAAATGAGCCATTCTGAAAACGTGACCAAGCATGCCATTTAAGTATGAATTCACCATTTTTTAATAAACAAATAAATACTGTTTTATAGGAAATTGTCAATATGGCTCAAATATGAACAATCCCCCAGCTTTTCCCAAACAAGGAGCATTTAAAACATTCAAACCAAACTTTGAATCACTAGAGCAATTATATATATGTTGTATATGTTGCACTACCATAACATACACCGCTCTCAACAATCAGGGTAAAAAATGGGTCTTCCCCGCAGACATAGGTACAGGTCAATATTTTTTATGAGCTCAAAGAAGAAATGGCAGAAAAACAATATTAATATTCTCATTTTCCACAATAAAGCCTGCTTATGATATCGAGTTCACTGAGAGATTTCAGTATGGTATTCATCTAAACACTCTGACAAACACATTCACACATATTCAACTTGAAATTAACAACTGAACAATCAACGCTGGGAAATATACGCAGCAAATCCTACCCAAAGCGCTGTGGAGAATGCCCATATCTGTCCTGACGATCAACTCCTGGAGGTGCAGGTTCAGGGGACCGGGATCGACTGTAACAAAAACATTTATTACACACTTTCAATGATGTAAAAAAAATGAACCAGGACGCCAGCCACTTCAACCCGTGACAAAATCATCTCACGGAATAGAACTAATCTAGTCATTAATCCCTTCACAGTCACATGATTTAACCATAGACCATCCGGGGTTGATACATAAACCATTGCCATTAACCTGTTTGTTTCACATTTTGTTAATAAGTAAAGCCACAAAACTTCACAGGATGATAAACACATGATTGCACTATGAACCTATGAGTAGAATGAAATAGAACTTCATTTGACAGTGTTAACACCTTTCAAGCACAAAGCCAGAGACAGTTTCATTTATATTGCAGTACTTGAGTAAAAACAGGCCAGGAACAACACACTACTTACTTCATGTTCGAGTGGCTAAGACACATGCAATTATTATAATAAACTAAAAACCATTATCTATATCATTCTTAGTTCTAGTTAAGGGTTTCACGGCACTCGCAACACAATAAGGTCAAATGAGTGCCGAAGATTAAAGGTGTTACAAGAGAGTAACAAACACAAAAAAAGGAGGGGAGATGAGGACAATGGATATTTGATAGGACAGAAGGAGCGAACCACATCACAGCACCAGCCAACCACCCACTATCTCACTCTGAAAGTGAACAGAAAATAAAAAGAGATGCGGCTCTTTAATGCATGGACTGGCCAGCAAAAAAATGAATAATGGCACAATGGAATTAATGCGAATTATAATTGGGAGAGTGCAATGATGGTGGGCAAATAAACATAACAAGAAATATACTCAACGTGACCAAATTTTGTAAATAGCTGTCCTGACTTGGGGGGTTAAAGAAAAATAGTTAATTCCAATGCTGTAAAAAACTTTACAGAATTGAATGTTACTTCTTTCACACAACAACACACATTATGTTGTCTTTGTCCACTGAGATTAAAATGAATCTTTCACATCAGAAAGCAAAACATGACTTAGCATTTGAGGAACAGAAAATCAAAGATAATTTTTAAAATATGAACAAGAAAAACTGAAATCTTTACAAATTTCAGTACTTTCAGAAAAAAAATAATGTTTGTAAGGGCAAAATCTTTATAACATAAAACTGAGACATAACATATTTCAAAGAAATACCAATGGAAGAAGAAAATTAGAACACGACAGAATCGAAATTGATCCAAGTTCAAGAAACTAGAAGTACCGTTTTTGTAGACTCAATATTTTCGATATATTCCTCTTCCACTTTCTGGATAACAAAATTCAGAAATTGTGGGATAAAACAAGATCAGATTCTTCATCAAACTAAACTAGCAGAACATGAGTGATGTTGAGAATTGATTCTCATGAAACTGAAAAAAAAAAGCTTGGAATCAAAACTACAACATCACTATTCTACTACACACACCTTACTTTCCACACAGCGGTCAATGTAGAGCAATAAGATATGTATCAGAACCATCACAATGTTTACAAAAGGTGCCAAATTCACCAATGGAACAAGTAAAAATTTTTATTTTTATTCAGCAAGGTGTAACTATTAAAGCGGAAATTTTGAAGCCACCAGTAGTAAAATACGCCCCTATTTGTCCACTCAAGATAAAGTAACAAGAGTAGTACTTAAATCTAGAAAGAGCAAAAACAAACCAAGGATGTGAAGGGAAGGAAACCGTAATAACTATACATACTGATTATCACTTATCACTAAAATACCAAGGAAACATATATTTAAAAATCTTTTTAAAAACCAGTACCAAAACAATAAGATTTCAAATCTGTTGTAGCAAAAGCATTTAGACTGTAGAATAGAAAGGCCTAACAAGAAACTTACCTAGAACTGCCAGATGAACCACTCCCTGACCTGCTGCTGCGTGATGAACCAGAAGACGAACCAGAGCCAGATCTGAAAATGTTGTAATGTACACACTAGCTAGCAAACTTTATAAATGTATGGCAGCGTGGTGAAATCAGGCGCTCGTCAACATAATGAAAGTAAACAAACTGGCATTTTTTCGCAGGTCTGGGAATTTTATAGAATTTTTGTTTTTTGGCTCAACACCTTTCACGCCCATTAAGAACAAATTTCTGTACTGATTTTAGTGAAAAACTTCGATTAAAGGCATAAAATATGTAAATTTTCAGTTACAGCAGACTCTCAAGTTAAGGAAATAACGCAACTTTGGCGGCCAATTTCTCTCTGATTTTTTTCCTTTGAATCCAGGTGATCCCCACCTCCTCAACTGCGAATATTTTGACTTGTATCCAAGGTAAATGGATATTTTTTCCATCAAAGGCAAGGCAAATGGACAAGCTTTAAATTTGTTTTGTTTTAGTAAGGTTTTACAGCGCTTGCAACTGCATACGGTCATAGGAGCGCAAGGGGAGGACATCAACAGAGAAGTCCATACAGGGAATCAGGCTTACTCGGCTCACCTCTCTAGCCTCAACAGCACAAAGTCTGCTTTGACTATCAAAGCACCCCAGAAATAGCAGCTCACAAGAGAGAGACAAACATACAAAAGAAGTAGAGGAAAAAAGACGATAGTAAGGTTGAGGAAAGAAAAGGCAGCAGTTCCCCCAATGCTATTCCGGCACAGAAGAGGCATAACATTGATAAATCAGCCCATTTACAACTCTTTTCTACTGCGCATAAGAACATGTTAATATCCCCCATTTAGGAATGGCCGAAAGACAACTTCAGTCAGTAGCACTGCCCTGAAGGAGGGAAGGCTTTAAGATGATACCAATAACTCCATATGCCACAAAATTGAAGAGCGCCTGATTCCACCGCGTAATAACACATATTTCTTTTTCTTTTTAAGATAAACAGCTTACAGGTATAGTCTGCTATTTCAAAGGCAGGGGACTTAATCTCAGTGAGGGTACTGAAGTTCTTTTTCCAAGAAACACAAAGAAAATTTTTAAGACTCCATTCAGATCCAAACTCAACACTTCTGTGCTGACCAAATCCTTAATAACAGCACTTCAGGATTTAGCCCAATAAATACCACCAATTAAAATGTGCATTAACTTGCTTTTCAAAGAGTCACCAATCACAAAAAAAGCACCATACCTTGATGAGTTTGAAGAGTCACTGACAGATCTTTTATTTTTTCTTCCTCGTGACCGACTTCTGTGTTTTCTCTTTTGCGGGGACTTTGACCTATGGACAATATAAAAAGCATAGGGCAAATCAAAGACAAATAGTTGAGCTGTTAATCGAGCAAATTTTTCTTACATAACAGGAACTGGGATACAAACAGCATTAACACCCCTAAATTTCAATGTTGTCTTATTTTCAAAGTTCACCAACAAAAGTGCATTACTCTTTTAAAGGGCTAACTTAACTTTATTAAATACTGTCAGCAACAGTACAACTGAACATGTAGATGTGTTTTTCTAATAAAGAGTAAAAATCATATAGCATTTCTTTTTTAAAAATGAAAAAAAAAAAGCTAAACACTTCACAAAAGAAAAGTGAACTGAGAACCCAAAAAGCCAACAAGTCAATAGTTCCAAAAAACACAACCAAACATTGTAATTAAAAGAATTGAGCGTGTCTAAAAATCTCACCGTTTTTTAGGCTTAACCATGGGTTTCTGTTTCACTGAGACTCTGTTCAGATTCATACAATTGAGGGTAATATGTAAGTCTTTGTACAGAAATCCCTACTCCTCCTCTCTACACATGCATAAATAACATTGTGAGGGGATGGGATGGGATGGGGGTGATGCTAAGCAACACTTGTTGAAGAGGACGAAGCACAGGGGAAAAACAAAATTAAAGCATCAAACATCACACGGGCATACCAATAATAATTCATCTATGTTTTTGTTCCTGACAGAGAAAACACTTTAGCACCTCATCTTTTACAGACCTGAAAATATTGACGCCTGAGTTACCAGTACCATCTTCCACATTTGTCCAACTCAAAAGTTAAAATATATAACTTTAAAACTTAAATGAAAATCCATAAGATTATACAAATATTCAAGTGAAATAAATACAGTCGAACCCGCTCTGGCGACCACCTATTCAAGATGTCCACTTCTCCCTCTCCTTAACCTCCCACACTTGTGGGTTTTTTTCCAATATAATGACAATGTTCAAATGGCTACCTATCCAACGCAACCACCATATTTTATTAACCAACAGCCCCAAAAACCTGTCCAAGATGACCAAGCAATCCTCTCATTACTAGATGTGTTGCAATAAATCACCCATCCTTAACAATGTGGACAAGCTGTCATTATCATCAGTCCCACCTACAACTGAACTGCTTTCCGACCAGTACACAATATAGGCAAGGCAAGTAGTCCTTCCCACTATTTAACCAAGTTGACTAGTTGGTACAAAATTTCAGCTGCAGTTAAATGAGAAATGAAAATCCCCCCCCCCCCTTTTTTTGTCTTGTCAACGGGTCTAGTGGCAGTCCCAAGCCTAGTCACTTCCTGTTGGGACCTAAGAACGAAATTTTGCTTCTTTTATTTTCATCTGACCTGCCAAAACAGACTGCCAGTATAAGATGGTAACTCAACTCCCCAACAATGGATGATAGTCCTGGACAGGTTTGACTGTAATATTTATTTGTATAAAACAGAAATTTATGAGCCATTCTAACTATTCGTTACAAACTGAAAGACTCTCAACTAACTGTTTTCAGATAGACTAATACTTCCATTGAAGTCTAGATAAATTATCAACAGAGCACAAAGCTTTAGCAAAATATAAAAAAAGAGCAGAAGGCGTATAAAACTAAACACAACTTGCCTTCTCCATGGGTCAGTCCACTCATCTGGTCGCTTTAGGGTGGATGGGTAGTCATGGGCAGGTGGTTCTTGTCTAAATGGATTGCGTCGCTCTTCTCTTTGTCGCCCAAACCTTTAAAGTGGCAAACATGGATAATTTTTCCAAATAGTGAATGAACAATAATGAATACACAAATAGATGGGGGGCAATCTGCCAACTGCATTGTGAAACTGCTTTTACGCTAAGTTTAGTAAGAGTTTTTAAGGTTGTCGAAACTGCATAAGTGTTTTTACACTTTTCAAGTTATTATTGATCACTCTAGAGTTATTGAACAACCCCACAAAAGAATAAATAATTGACTGTCAGTCCAAAACCTGAGACTTATAGCTGCATATCTTCTACATAATCAGTTACTTGAAATAGTACAAGTAATTTAATAGACCAAATCAAACTGTAAAATTGAACAAAAAAGTAGAAACATCACAAAAGAACAAAGTAACAATTCTGTAAAAAGAATATGGTTCACGAGAACAGCATCACTCACTTGTCAACTGGAGGACTGTATGGAGGTGGCATATATCGAGACGGAGGAGGCCCAGGTTGTTTTTCCTGTGGAGTAAACCCAGAAAGAATATGAGCCCAGTATTTCCATTTTAGATGAGTCTCCAGGCCTATTTCAAAACAAAAATCAGGGACAACCAGTGCCTGTTGCAAAAGCGTATTCGTTTAGTTCTGGTAAGAGTACGGCACTTGCAACACAAAAAGGTCTTATAAGTGCCGAAAATTAGAGGTGTTACAAGAGAGTAACAAACACAAAAAAGGAGGAGAGATAAGGACGATAGATGTTTGATAGGAAAGGAGGAGCGAACACAGACAAAAACAATTGCTGTATTGAACAATGTGTTGGCATAAACAAGTGCAAGATTAATGTTTATATATATGAGGGCACCGGAGGGAGAAAGAAATAATAACAGACATTAAAGTAATGCAGTCTACATCAAATTTCATTTTGCCAAATTAACAAGAGTTTACAGCAAGCCCATTACTCCAAAAACAAACATAGTAAACAGATCTTACATTCAGGCTATGAGGTCTTAATTATCAAGACTTGACCTTACTTCAACTGCCCTGTAATAACACCATTTAACAAATGTGAGATCCTATCCCTTAAGGCCATTAACACAAACGTAAAATTCTTAAATCTTTCCTTCGAAAGCATTAAAAATAAAGATCATATTTTCTTCTTTTCCTTTTTTTGGTACCATGGACCATCTTAGGAAGATTCTAAATACCTGCAATATATAAACATAATGTTTTCAACTTTTGCTCCAAGAATGTTACACTTTATCTTTCAATCGACGCTCTTCATTCTGAAAACATCAATGAAGGCATCTTGTACTCTCTACTTGTGAGTGCAAGTATGTAAGGGAGCATGTATATGCATGTGTGTCTGCCCTTTAGGGGCAGTGGAAAAAGTTCATTGAAAATATATTTATCTCCTCTAAATAATAATAACTTACCCGATAAGGTGGAGAAAATGACGTTTCTCTGTTGTACCTGACCTCAAAGTTCTCATAATGACCCGTTTGCCATGGATCTCGAGATATTTTGTAGTACTCATCCTCTTCATACCTATGGAGGAACACATTCAACAGCAAGTTCAATGATCTGAGAGCCAGTAGAATTCTTAACACACTCTTTGCTAAAGACTTAAATATCAGGCTGAGCGTTTTCTTACAGAAGGAATGTTTCCGGGTCAATACAGAAACCAATATAACAAAAAAAACAACAACATCTTCACAACACAGTAGCTGTATTAGCTAGGCTCTAAACCACCACCTCTATTGTTTACACAGACCTAACTATTTTCTCATCACAGTAAGTCTAACTCAAGATCAAGATCCACCCAAGTCAGCTTCTTTAAGCCCCTGCCCATAACAAACGACATGACATGTCAGACATTCCGCAATAATGAGTCACATTTGATGCACCGAGTTAAAAATAAAAACTTAAGTCAAGAAGGAGAACATCCCAACACTGTTCAATTTTTTTTTAAGCACAAACGGGAACAAAATGAGGGAGGAGGGAGTCAGTGTATTTTTTCACTTTAAAAATATTTCCATTATAAAATGAGCTTTAAAAAAGCAGAAACAAAGGATAGACATGTTCTTACCTCAAAAACAAACGAAGGTTGAAAAAGCAAAGGCTTAAAAATGAGACAATAACAATAGTCCGAGTAAAACAAATTTTTTTTTGGGTTAGTATCTTGCGGTGCTCGCAACTGCATAAGGTCATACGAGCGCATCAATTTTGGACCACCAAGGGATCTTTAACGTGTGCAATTTGCACATGGGACCAAGATTTTCGCCCTTGTCCGAGAAAGCTAGGTGTAGATCTTTCCTACCAGAAGACCAAGGATACGGCTGAAAGACTGAAGTAAGAAGAAGCCAAGGAGTAGCAGTAGAAAGGCAGCAGAAAGAGTCAGGAGCCCAGTGGAGGGGAGGGGGGTGGGGGAAGAAAGTGGAGACAAACACAGACAACAAAATACTGCAAGAGAGAAGGAAAGAAGGTGGAAGGAGACAATTTTAGAGAAGAAAATTTTTCTGTCACGACCCGGATTCGAACCCAGGACCTTACATAATAATAGTAGTTTGCCCATCAATACCTGTGACCAATGCATATGCAGAGGAGAATGCAGTAATAAGATGAGCTACCAACTTACAAACTCAGCATCTTTTTCTTTCGTTTTTAGAAAGTCAAATAGCAATATTACATTTTTTTTTAAACTTCATACAGAACTAACTTAAAAATTGTTTTTAATTCTTAAAAAGAGAATACATTCACACTGGTTCATCATTTTAAAAAGTTGACACTGACAACTGAGAAAACATAAATATACACTTTATAAAAAGTCTGTCCTTATTGCAAACAAACCACAACCAACCCTACCCTCAAAGCATTGGAAAACAAACTTACGCTTGTTGATCATAGTAAGGGTCCTTTGGAATAATCTTTGGCATTCTTTCATTTTCTTTGTTGAGCTCTCTTTCTTCATCAACAGATAAGTTCAGTCGCTTCTCCTCAAAATCTGGCTCAAGCTCTTTTCTTTCAGATGCCTTCTTCCGTTGCTTCAAAAAGAGAAAAAGAATGGTGATGGCTAAATTTACTTACATAACTATAACACTTCCCATGCACACTTGTCCATATATTTTACGATAAACTTAAACATTTCAATAACACTGGATAACTTTCTTTTAAAGACAAACTGTTTTTTTTTAAAACCATGACGATAACAGTGGCATACCTCAAAACCATTCCCTGGTTATGCCAGCACAAACTTGTGTCGGAGCAGGGTACTTTTGTATGTTATAGGTCAATACCTTACCTGGAGGCCCTTGATCCTACTACAAGCCCAAAAACTATGACTTTGGACTGCTCTGAGTTCCTCACAAAGCTCATGGCGAACCATTTGTTAAAAACAACCTTAACAACATATGAACGTGTGATCTGATCATGAAAAAAGAACAGAAACATTCAAGTAGTCACCTCTTTAGCTATTCTGAGACCTCTTTCCCAGGCAGTTTCAACAGGTGGAATGTCTGGAATGGGTGGAGGAGGTAGCTCTACTGGTTCTTCCGGCTGAAATTTAAAAAAAAATTAATTTTCAAAAGGCATTCTACCATCATAAACAAAATATATCAATAGGTGGACGGACATACGGATAAAGCCCTTCTTATAAATAAAAAATATATGCCAAGAGAATGCTGAACAGAAGAATGTCTCACAGGCACTAAAATATACAAAAAGACAAACATGAATTTAATCTTAATACGGGTATGAGCGTGTGTTCAAGTGAGAGAAGGGGAGAGACAGAGAGAAAGGGAGACAGAGAGAGAGAGAGGGGGAGCAGGGGACGTGGAGAGAGGGATAGACAGACATACAGACACACAGATTAGAAGATTCAAAATGATTTAATTGTCACAATGTGGTGGAATTAGGCACTCATCAATTTTTCGGCATGTGGAGTTATTGGTATTATCTTAAAACTTGTTCAATTATTCACCCAGCAATGTGTTCTTAATTGGACAACAATGGTGTTAAGCCAAAAAACAAAAATTTGATAAAAATTACAGAACTTGTAGAAAAATGCCAGTTTCTTCAATTTCATTATTTTGATGAGCGCCTGACTTCACCAGGCTGCCTCACGATTGATCTTTTGGCCCATACATCGGCACACTAGAATGTATGACTTGGTGGCTACGCATGTCGGTGCAACACATCAGAGAAACAAACACAACAAGTGAGACAATACTATTGAAAAAAAACCCAAAAAAACTATAAATATGCGATGCATCATGGCGAAATCAGGCGCTTGTCAAAATAATGAAATTGAAATTCAGTAATTTTCATCAATTTTCTGTTATTAGGCTCAACACCTTATAAGTCCTTGCAAAACACATTACTGATAGGATTTTAAAGAAAACATTGATTATAATCACAAAAATGTAAATTTTCAGTTTTTTTAGGACTTTCAAGCTTTGGAAATCAACAAACTTTGGCAGCCGTTTTCTCGCTAAATTTACCTCTCAAACCAGGCGACCCCCACCGCCTTTAATCGCGCATATCTCGCCTTTTATTCAAGACAGATGTGAAATTTTTTCATTGAAAGATAGTTATATGAATAAGCTTTAACATGATAGTTATAACCTCACATGCCCAAAAATAGACGAGCGCCTGATTCTACCGCATCCAGACACATATAGAAAAGAGCAGGTTCATAATAATGTCAAGTGTGTCCTTGAAACAACATGTAGCTGGGTGGTCATTGGGGTGTATCCTCGTCCAAGAAGTAAAGTAACAACCCGAACCCTACTTCATCAAAAACAGGGCATTGACAGTAGCAAATAGCAACATTCATATGCAGATGGTCCATGTTTATGATATTGTGTATTACTCTACTCGTCATGCTTTTATATATTAATACATATATGCATATTTTTTCTGCTTTTGTAAAACAAATTTCCTAACGAGAACCAACAAAAAGCAATTCATCCTCTTTTACGTTCCTTTTTATTAGTAAATATATTCCACAGATACAGTGACAGAAAGTAGAAAGACTGTCATCAATTTGCGGCAACTGTAGTGGCAGACAGTGTGGGCTCATATATCAGATATCTTTCAAATCATTCCAAATCTAGTACCATATTGTTCTTTCATTTGAGAAAAACAGACCATCAAGTAGACTCACCTCTTCCCAAGCACCGGGAGCTCCCATTGGTGGCCGAGCACCAGGCGGTTTGAAACCAGGTATTTCTATCATCTGGTAATTTCCTGGGGACAACATACATAAAATTTAAAAACATTACAAACATAATTTTCATCTTGCATTAAGAACAAAACATTTTTTCTCAATTCACACGGTGATTTCACGTTTGGGAATTCAATACTTTGGAGCTTCAGTTATCTCATTGACAAAGCAATAATTCCAGTCACCATGCGTATCCCAAGTAACTATACACATCAACAGCAACATTCTGCCACCTGTGAAGATGAACCACTCATCTTGCTCTTTCAAAACACACCATAACCTATTCAGTCCTCATACAGAAACTAAAACTATCAAGACATGACAAGTTAAAAGAAGAAAGGAAGAAACATGTCACTCATGTGACAGAAAAGAACAATTTCACTCACAATCTTTTGCTTTCAATTTTGCGAGCATAATGAAATATTCCCAAAAAAAAAGAAGAAGAGAATTTTCACGACAATTTTTCTTTTAGTGGGCAGTTTTGTCACCGAACCAGCACTCATTTATAACAACATCTTCCAGTTTGAGAAAATCTCTTAAAATCAAAAACACACCTTGAAACATGACGAAACCAGATAGATATTACTACACTCCATACAAACCTTTATCGTTAACACCTGGATGCAAAAATCTGCAGTTGATTCCCCATGTGCAATTACCCCTTTGAAAAAAACGACAAATCGGTTTAATGAAAGGTTTCTTAGCTCCTGGTTCCTTGATTTCACCCTCTTCACAGTCATCATCCTGCAAGAGAAATAGGAATAAATATTTCAGATTCAGAGCAGAAGTTTCAAGGTCAGACAGTCAGTATAAATTTTGCACTCAAGAGTTAAATAATGAACGTAGGGACATTCATTTACAAGGTCTATAGTACCCACACCTGTACAAACACAGCTCTTGGCACTTTACAACACCCCCTTCTTAACTCAAGATACATATCATGTGCACAAATAAGATCTTTAGATAGCAACACATAAGCAGACATTCATACTATCAAAGCACAAAGAATGACAATATAATACAAGTTACATTTTGATAAAGAGTGCTATGAAATAGAGGGGGACTACATTAAGTATCAAAATGGCATTTTATGATGTATGTTTTTAAATGAGTTACAAATTTTGCTACAATATTGCATCCCTCAAATATTAAGGGAGAGAGTTCCAAGCAGATGGAACTAGATGAGAAAAAGACCCCATAAAGAGCTTTTGATCTCCCTTCTTAGGAGTTCTCATAAGAGTAGAGACAGATCTGATCTTCGAGGTATCTTGATGGCACATACAATTGGAAGAAGTGGCTTAAATACAAGGGGGCTTTATTGTTAACACTTTTCTGGCAAAGAACAACAATCTCGTGGGTAACTCTAGCTATTGTTGGGAGCCAAATAAAGGCAGAATTTTTCCACATACAGTCATACATTATAATTATATAATGAATTTACATAATGTAAATGGGATGAAACTAAATATAACAACAACAACAAAAAATCATTTCAAAAATCATAATTGTTGATGTTTAATGTTTCCATCTACAAAATTTAGATCATTTAGGAGATGGGCTAGTTCGACCCTGCCTGTCACGGCCAGCCAGGACTGCTCGAGGGATACAACACACCCCAGCAGCAAGACAGATATCTCCAAATAAGTATTGAACTCACATCTTTCGTGTATGTGGCAATGAAGTGCCTAACCACCACAAAGGCCACTAAAATCTTAACAAAGCTTAAACCACATCACAATAAATGATACATTATGTAAGTAATATAACAAGGAAAGTGTTGGATTAGATTGAAAATCCACAGATAAGATCAAGGGGAAGACCACTTGGAACCTAGAGAAGAGTTACAGAAATTGATGTACAGAAAAGTGGAAAGACATGGAATAACATCAAGATAGAAAAAGGTGGTAATTGTTTGTTCATTACCTATACCCTGATGAAAGGTGAGAAAGGCAATGGTGATGAGGATATAATTAATCATACTGTAAAATTTCCAACCATCAACTCAGAATCACATCAGCCAAAAAAGAAACGATTCTATAAAATCAAAGACTGCTACTGGCCCTGGGTCCTTGACCAGCAGAGTCACAACCCCAAATCACAAAAATTAAAGATACCATCACGTGGGATGATACCAATTCAATTGCAATTACCATTAGATTGGATTTCAACCCAAAAAAAATTCCATTTCATAGGCAGTTGCAGAAGGCCATTTGACTTGTACAGAAAATTCATACCTCCTTAAGTCACCCAGTGCCCACTGATAAGATCGATTTTGTTTTGGTCCTTGGGGCTAGCCAAATTTTCCTCAATGGAGGGAGAAACGCTACTATCGAGGCACAAAGCGAACGAAACTGACGACCTTTGAGAACAAACATGTTTGTTTTCAAGGTCGTGGGTCAGGCAATCGGTTTGAGGCAGGGGTCTATTATAATGTGCACCGAAGCCACTAGAAACGTAACCGAACCAAACCGATCTTCCAATGGGCACTGCCCATAAAGCCCTCAGATTGAAATGGGTCTAAATGAAAATTATATACTCACGCTCAGCTCTCCTTCATCCTTGTCATCTGGTGCACCCTTTACAATAAAATGACACAAAGAAAAGAAAGGTTGGAACAGATTCTACTTCATGATTTTTGTATGCAGAAAGCAAGGTGATAAAAAGCCCATATTAAAACCCAAACAAATCAGCTTTCTGTGATAGAAACCGTGATTACAATTGAAATGTTGAAAATACATGTAATACAGATAGAGTTAACTGTTATAAAACTAACAATATCCAGGGTACAAGTTGTCATATATATATATGCAAATTTGATCCCAATATTCTACTTTTTTTTACTGATTCAAATCAAAACATTAACACCTGAACATAAACAAAAAGAAAAATGGCTACAACTTACTTCAATGTTTCTTACCTCTTTCACTTCTCCTTCCTCGCCTTCTTCTTTCACTTGAGCATCTCCCTTTGAAGATTCCTCCATCTTTGGCTCTCCTTCATCACCCTCATTTTCTTCATAGTCTAATTCTTCATGATGTTCGTTGAAATTTGTTGTCACCTGCCTTTTTTCTATATCTAGATCTTTTACATGTGGACTACTAGACTGAACACCTTCTTGGCTTTTTTTTTCATTCACACCTCTTTTTCTCACATCCTCTCCCGAATCTAAGATTTCCTCATCTGATATAGTCTCCATATATTCACCTTTAGATTTATCACCCTGACCAAATGTTTGAGCTGCAGTAATGTCTGATTTTTCTTTGCTGAATGATTCACGATTAGATAATCGGGAAGACTGATGCTCTGAGGCATCCATGCCCATATCACCCTCATCCGAATCTATGGACTCAAAGTCATTGACACGTGATTTGGAATCTCCTCCCTTCACAACTTGAGGGTTGGAATCTTCGTCTCCACTAGGAAGTTCTCCATCTGTGTCACTACTTTCATCAGCAGAGATGGGTTCTGCCTCCCGTAACAACTCCTTCACAGGTTGGGGGGAATTCACATCTCCTGGGCTCTTGACCTCCCCAGCTTCCACAGCATCAGGGTCTGTCACAGATTTGTTGTCATCCTGCCCAATGTCCTCTTCATCTGATATGGGTTCCGCCTCAAGCGATGTGAGCCCTGTTGAAGGAGGCATCTCTGAGTCCAGAGACTGAACTGGGTTATCTAAAGTTTTAGACTCCCTACCAGCTGCTGTCCCCTCAGAAAGGTCAGCACTACCCCGTGATACTTCTGAGGGTTCCCAGCCCATCGCACCATCACCTTCAGCGCTCAAATCTATCTCATGGGCAGCATTGTAAGCACTGTCAGGACTCGCAGGGCCTTCATCCTCTGAGCTGCTCACTTCCTCTCCACCTGCTATCAAAGCAGGCTTCGTGAGATTAGGGCTTTTAGATACAGAAGGGGCATGCGATCCATCTGGCACAAGTTCATCATCAGAAACGGCTTCAAGTTCTCCACTAGGTCTTTGTCCATGGCCTCCTTCACCAAGACTGCCTTCTTCACTTTTATCAGCTGCATCTTCTAACTTCAGATCAATGATATCTCCATCATCACTAGGAACCCTGTCATCTGGTAAAGAGCTCAGCTTCTCTACTTCAGCCTCTCCTTGATGAGCAGACAAATCAACTTCCTCTGTATTGAAAGATTCTATGGACAGCTCAACGGTAGACTGTTCTTCTGTGTTTTTTGTTTGAAGTGCCTCAAGAACAGCAGGTGAATCGGTATTGCCATTATTACCATTAGCAGAAGCTGATGTGTCAACGTCAAACTCCTCATCACTGATGTCTTCCCTGTCATTTGATGGCCCCACACTTGGCTTGGTAACAGGGCCCTCCAAATTGTTCACGGTATCACTATTCGTAACATTCTGTGACTCAGTATTTTCATCACCAGAAACTTTCTGCACAGCCTCACTGTCTAAATCAAGCGGCTCTAAAGAGATTTCTGCTTCTGAACCCTCACTATTTACTACAGAGTGTGGTGATTTCCTAGGAACACTGTCTTTTTGAGGATCATCACTTACAACTTGGTCTATATTTTCAACTGTTTCATGTAAACCATCTTCATCCTTTTCAGTCGAAGAATTGGCACATTCACTCTCAGAAACACAACTGCTCATCTCTTGATCACCAGCACTGTGTTTTATTTCTTCATCTTTATTTGTGACTGCCTTTAAACCAACAGTATCAACAGGGTCCTTTTCCACTTCGTCAGTCTCCATTTAAGCTATAATGAAAAAGAAAAGGTACACAAGAAATTATACATAAAAGCAAATATACAACACAAAAGCATTGTCTACTAAATCAACCTCTTGAAAATAAAGAGGCACAAAGAAATGGACTGTGCACTTAGTCTTTAGTAACAACAACATAAAGTAAAGCAAAACTAATTTTTAAAATTCCAAACAAGCATGATGATACTATTTATAATGTTAACTGAACCCAAAAAGTCTTCACCATGAGAGTGAAATTTGATTTCATCTTTTCAAAGGTAATTGTATAAAATACGACAAATGGCATAAAAGAAATTGATCGACCTTGTAAAATCTTTTATTGTGAGTAATATATATATGATATTAGCTCCTATTGATAATTGGCCAGAATGACACACTCTGTTACATCACTTCCGTTTCATCCGCGAAAACGACACCCATTGCACCCGAGCTACGAGTATATATCGAAGCTGCCGCGCGCTTCCGTCCACCTAGCTACAAGAATAGTTGTATCAAAATACCAGTCCACAAAATAGAGTCCAAACCACTTATCCAGGTTTCTATTGAAAATAATAGTAATAGGTTGCTTGTAGCTTGTAAAAACTTTTGCAAGCCTGTTAAGAACCCAATACTGTTGAAGATATCCGCCTCCTGTCAAAGTCGACCACAGCCCCAGTCAGTATTGTTACAGAATATGCAGAAGTTGCCCCATGCGGGGGTCGAATTTGCACAAACCCCCGTCGAAGCATGCCACAAAATTTTGATTGGTTGAGTTGAAAATTCGGAATGCAATTGAGAAGGCTAAAGTAAAGGGTCACCTCTATTCTCACCTCGAGTGAGAATAGCGCAGGCGAGTCTTTTGGCTATTCTCACCCGGTGGGCGTTCATCGTTATAGCCTAGGCAAACCAGTGAAGCGTGCTGCGTTCACCCTGAACCACAGAATTCTACACTGTGATAACAGAATTGTAGAATTCTGTGGCGTGAACAAACGTTCTAGATCTATTGCTACTGTTAGTGTTAGCCTAAAAGCGTGCAATTTTGTCTGTGGGCAGCGGAGAGAGAGAGGAGTAGCGCGAGAACTTCTGGTAGTTCGGCTCGATTCGAAAAGTGAAATAGCCATAGCATCTTTCAAGACGATCAAATTAGCTTACTTTTGTGCTAAAACGTAATTTTTTCTTGGCTTTTATCAATTTGATAATCCACACCGATAGACAGTATTCCGAAATGAGGAATAACAGGTCTTGTTTCACACCGGGTGAGAATAGCACGCTGACAAGTCTCACCCGGGGTGAGAGGTAGATCGTATTTTTATTCTCCCCCCAGGTGAGGATAGCCACTTCCAAAGTAAAGAACACAATCTTGAAGTAGAATGGCTGCTTGACACAACGATACCAAGGTTACTTTTGGGGCACTACACAAACCTGTCGAAGTTGCCCCAACCTAGGACCTAGGTAAGATTGAAGAATACCGGACCAGCGGACTGACTTTGCGTATGTCTCAACCTTAGGAATTCATGATTTTCCCATTTTTAATGGAAGTGACTATTTTCACCCGGTGTGAGAATAGAAATACGAACGACCTCTCACCCCGGATGAGACTTGCCACCGTAGGCTATTCTCACCCGGTGTGAAACAAGACCTGTTTTTCCTAATTTTGGAATACTTTCTATCGATGTGGATGATCAATGGATAAAGGCAAAGAAAAGATTACGTTATAGCACAAAAGTAAGCTAATTTTATCGACTACAAAGATGCTATGGCTATTTCACTTTTCGAATCGAGCCGAACTACGGGGGTCACCATTTTGTTTTGCCCGGAAGTTCTCGCAAGATCTACTCCTCCCCTCTTCTCTCTCTCTATCTCTTTCTGAATAGGCCGTCGTTTTTTGGACTCGAGTCCGAATATGAAAATTTTTTATTCGGACTCGGGTCCGGAAAAAAGGAAGCGTCTTCGTTCTATAGATCTAAAGTTCAGGGCTTCCCATTTTCCGCCATTTTTTAGTTTCCCCCACACCTTTTCTGCCGATCCGATGCCCGCCGCCTCATTGATACGCCCCCCCCCCCCCCCATGTTTTCCACTTTCTTTGTTGTAGAAAAAGGTAAAATTGAAGATTAGCAGACCACCTGGCACCTGCATATTATGAGCTGTGTCCAAAAAAAAATTCGTTCAAATACACAAGCCTGTGTCATCTAGATTGTTTACCAAGAAAAAGTTGTGTTGCTGTGTAGAGCTGAGCATACGGCAACTTTTGATTCCATAGACCAGCGCACAATTTATTGCGTAGATCTACGTCAAGACTAGCTTACTATTGTAATAATGATCAGTTGCCGGGGGAAAAAAGACTGGCGCGTATGCGACGTTCAACGCCCGGACCGATAGTGCCTCCCCCCCCCCATCCCCCTCCCAGACACGCACGCAGCCACACGTGTGCAGGCCGCCCATCCGACCCCGACACACGCTAACGAGCCATCTCTAATTGCTTCTGATGATCTCTTGACAAATAAACATTTATTAAAGGCCGACACTATTTCTCCGAACGTTCGGGAAAATAAAGTTAGGCACTATTTCTCCGAACGTTCGGGAAAATAAAGCTAGGCACTATTTCTCCGAACGTTTGGGTAAATAAAGCTGGGCACCATTTCTCCGAACACTCTGAAATCACATCCTTTCTCGCAAATTTCGGATATTATATAGAGTATAGGCCTACCAAAGATTGTCCATATACAATATGGTTCAATCGGTCCAAAAAAGTCCGCAGTAAATATTTATAAAGAAATGCTACAGTTCCAAACAGTTTTTCGCTACAGATATGACGTGTTGCCTATGAAAGGTGCTGCTCTTAAACTTATGTGTTGTGTTCACTCGTGTGCTGTCTAGATCTAGATCTACGGAGGGTTATTGATAACGACACATAGAACTAGCTTCTGCGTTTGTCGCGGCCGCGACCAATCAATCGTGGCTCGATTTTTTGGTCGGGGAATAAAAGTCAAATTTTAAAAAAAAAAAAAAAAAGAAAAAAGAAACAGAAACCTCTTTACTTTTGAAAGAAAGTTCACTTAGCTTCACTTAGTCTCTTTCTCACTTGTTGTCACCACGTTGATTTGTTGAATAAGTTACAGTTACTTTTATTTTCTCTCTTTGACTCTTTGTGGTGTTTTATTTTGTTAGTGTGTAATTTTTTTTCTTGTTACTGTACTGTGTTGTTTTTCTACCATTTTTTGTGGGGAAAGGAAGGGGGGGGGGGATGTTGCATAGAGTGTAACGTTATTTAATTTGATGTTCCTTCCTTCATTAGATTCTAAATATATACATGTATATATATAGATTTAAATGTTTTATGTTAGAGCGTACGTTCCACCAAAACCGATTACATGTCATCATGTACTGACACTGGCAGGCCCCTTAAAGTGTGTGATTCCATAATTTACATGTAATATCCTGTACTTTAAAAAAAAATTTACGCACTTTTAGGGTTAAAACAGGCAATTTTCTTCGGACAGGTTGACACACACCCTTATTTGTTTATTTTTGAGGGTTGTTTATGGGCTGTTCGACTAATTTTGATTTCATTCTGTTGTGAAACATTTCTTTTTCACGTTTTTACACTCATCTAAAAATCTCTAGACTAGCTCTTGAAAATTGAAATAGATATAGACCAAAAAATTTGCTCCTGTGTGTGTGTGTGTGGGTGTTACTGAAGGTTGTATCATGTAGGCGGGCTTGCCATGCGGTGTTCCTTCCCAGACCAGAGGCAGAATGAAAGTTGGCGCCGAACTCTCACAATAAATAAGGCAAAAAATCACGAGACCGGAAGCCGGAAACCGTTCGGAGAAATAAAGATCGGCACTATTTCTCCTAACGTTCGGAGAAATAGTCACTTCGTTTATTAAAAGCGCTATAACTTTTCAGGCCGGCCTCAAATTCATCATAAGATAAAAACTCGGCTCCTGCTCAAAACGCCATTTTGCCCGAAGCGATCCCGGTCTCTACCCAGCCTGAGGCGAGTCACGACTGAGGCAGGACAGGAAGCCGGAGTCACGAGTCACAGGAAGTCAGAAGTCGAAAGTGATGTCATGCTGGACAAGAATCAGAGTCCGAATAACATTTTTTCATATTCGGACTCGAGTCCGAATAGTCACTTCGTTATGAATACTGTCTATCGGTGTGGACGATCAAATTGTCCAAAATAACGTTAAAAAATTATGTTAAAACACAAAAGTAAAATAATTTGGTCGTCTACAAAGATGCTACGGCTATTTGACTTTTCGAATCGAGCAGAAGTACGCGGGTCGCCATTTTGTTTTGCCCGGAAGTTCTCGCGCTACTCCTCTCTCTCTTTCTCTCTCCACTGCCCACAGACAAAATTGTACGCTTTTAGTTAGTAGGCTGACAGTAGTAATGGAACGTTTGTTCACGGCACAGTACAATTTTTCTGTTACATCACAGTGTAGAATTCTGTGGTTTAGGGTGAACGCAAAATTGGTTGGCCCAGATCTAGGCTCGGTGAACGCGCACCGGGTGAGAATAGCCAAAAGATACGCCTGCACTATTCTCACCAGGGGTGAGAATAGAGGTGGCTGTTTTTAATATCTCTCAATGGAGAATCTCGGACCGGTAGATCTATTCATTAAAATTTTGTCAGGGGGGAGACACCCCTGAACCCCCCTCCCCCCTCCACCCCAACCACCCGCCCCACATTCTCGCGCAATAAGAAAGTGGCTATTCTCACCCGCCCGGAAGTTCTCGCAAGATCAACTCCTCCCCTCCTCTCTCTCTGAATACTGTCTATCGGTGTGGACGATCAAATTGACCAAAACAAAGTTAAAAAATGATGTTAAAACACAAAAGTAAATTAATTTGGTTGTCTACAAAGATGCTACGGCTATTTAACTTTTCGAATCGAGCCGAACTACGCGGGTCGCCATTTTGTTTTGCCCGGAAATTCTCACGCTACTCCTCTCTCTCTCCACTGCCCACAGACAAAATTGTACGCTTTTAGTAGGCTACAGTTGTAATGGAACGTTTGTAACAGTTTGTTCACGGCACAGAATTCTACAATTTTTCTGTTATCACAGTGTAGAATTCTGTGGTTTAGGGTGAACGCAAAATTTGGTGAACGCGCACCGGGTGAGAATAGCCACAAGACTCGCCTGCACTATATTCTCACTCCGGGTGAGAATAGAGGTGGCCGCGCAATAATGTACGAGTGGTCCGGTATTCTTCAATCTTCCTCCAACCTAGATTTAGATCTTAGATCATTAGATCTAGAAATCTAGAATCTAGATCTAGATCTAATCTAGAATCTAGATCTAGAATCTAGATCTACCCTAACATTTGACAAGAACCCAAATGAGAAGATTGAGAAGAGAATTGTAATCATATCAAATCAAATCTTCCTTTGTATCAAAATTTAGATTCTCGATCTAGAATCTAGATTTGTCATAGGGGGGTAGATCTAATCCTTTGCCTTCACTTTGTTAGTCTTTTAAAAATACACATGCACAAACTATATCTGACCATTCATTCAATGATTCTGACTTTTACTTTCACTTCACATCTCTGACTCGGAACTCAGTGACAATGTGCTTTCACTCTTGCAGCAGTCTTGTCTACACAGAAGTCACTCTGGAATCTACTTGTCTTTGTTTATGGGCAGCTAGATCACGAAATATACTGCTAGCCATACTGAACATGAGAACGCCAAAGGGGGGAACTTTTGAATTACCACATCTCGGCAGGATCTAAGTCCAGATTAAATAATCATGGCATGGCATTCACCATTGTCAGGGTTGTGGTTCTGTCAAGATTGGGTCTTCTTACCGTCTTGTTGGTTGGTAGAAACACTGTAATGTCAGTTATGACTCCAACTAGCGTGTTTGCTCTCAGTAAAATGGAGCTTAGGCAATATCCTGATATATCCAGACAGAAAACATCTTATGCTATAAACCCGTTAATCAATATCGAAAAAAAAATGTTAACAAACGCGTTAAAGGGAAAATAAAAAGGAAACCATCAAGACCTCCAGTCCTATGTAGAGGCAGCCATTGCTACTCAATAATTGGAGCAATCTTGTCACGTGATGACAGGAAGTTGATATTGTTGCGTTTTCCAACATGGATGTAGGAGAGCTACTTTCGTTTAAGGTTGGGGAGCTTTGACATAATTTCATATATTTTCTACGATTTTATCCCTTGTCAAAGCAGACAGTCTGCTTTGTTTAATGACTTAAGCACATTGAGATACTCTACATGTTACTCGGCTTCATTATGCCTGAAGCATTAGGCCTACGCATTTTGTATTTCGTCCAATTGACGTTGTCGGTGTTGTGTGTGTAAAAAAAAGATGAATCCAACGCAAGTCAAAAAACAAGCCGAGGCTGCTCCCAAAAGGAAGGCAAACGGCATCTAGACTCTAGATCTAGATCTAGATCTAGATCTAGAATCTATAGATCTAGCTACAATCTAGATATAGATATAGATCTAGATTCTAGATAGATCTGGATCCAATTTTTCCCTCTTTCCAGTCCAGTTCTAGATCTAGAACTAGATATCTAGATTTAGATCTAGATATATAGATCTAGATCTAGATATATAGATGTAGAATCTAGATATAGATCTAGTCTAGAGTCTATTTTATTCACATTTAGATTCTAGATCTCTAGATCTAGATCTAGATATCTCTAAGATTAGAAGGCCGTCTTTATTCAGACTCGGAGTCCAAATAACATTTTTTCATATTCGGACTCGAGTCCGAATTTTTAAAAATCATATTCGGACTCGGGTCCGGAAAAAAGGAAGTGTATTCGTTCTATAGATCTAGAACTTTTGTTCAGTGCTTCCAATTTTACGCCATTTTTTAGTTTCCCCCACACCTTTTCTGCCGTTCCGATGCCCGCCGCCTCATTGATACGCCTCCCCACCCCCCATGTTTCCCACTTTTTTTGTTTTAGAAAAAGGTAAAATTGAAGATTAGCAGACCACCTGGCACCTGCATATTTTCAAATTTGAGGTGTGTAAAAAAAAAAGACCAATTCGTTCAGATACAACAAGCCTGTGTCATCTCGATTGTTTACCAAGAAAATGTTGTGTTGCTGTGTAGAGCTGAGCATACGGCAACTTTTGATTCCATAGACCAGCGCACAATTCATTACGTAGATCTACGTCAAGACTAGATCTAGCTTATTATTAAAAATTGTAATAATGATCAGTTGCCAGGGGAAAAAAGACTGACGGGTATGCGACGTTCAATGCCCGGACCGATAGTGCCCCCCCCCCCCACCCCCCTCCCCGACACGCACACAGCCACATGTGTGCAGGCCGCCCATCCGACCCCGACACACGCTAACGAGCCATCTGTAATTGCTTCTGATGACCTCTTGACAAATAAACATTTATTAGAAGCGCTATAACTTTTCAGGCCGGCCTCAAATTCATCATAAGATAAAAACTCGGCCCGAAGTGATCCCGGTCTCTACCCAGCCTGAGACGAGTCACGAGTGAGGCAGGACAGGAAGCGGAAGTCACAGGAAGTCGGAAGTGATGTCATGCTGGACAAGAATCAGAGTCCGAATAACATTTTTTCATATTCGGACTCGAGTATGAATAGTCACTTCGATTTAGAAATTAGAAAAGGCTGTAATTATTCGCACAGGGTGTGTGAATATTGAAATTTTATTCGCACAGGGTGTGTGAATAGATAGATGTTATTCGCACAGGGTGTGTGAATACTGCAAAATATTATTGGCACAGGGCATTTCAAAAGAAGGATGGAAATTAATAGGCCTAACATTTCCTAATTTTTCCCCTCATCGCGACAAAGATCATGTTTTAAAACAAGATAGTTCACTCCTCTCTTTGAGCCAATTAAAAAAGGGCCGGCTCTATTTCTCCAAACGTTCGGGAAAATATACTTGAACTTTATTTCTCCGAACTGTTTCCGTTCTCCAGATTTGTTGATAAGGCTGATGTTAGGGGACCGTACGCCCTAATCCTAATAGCGCTTGGCGCTAGATATAGGAGACCGTACGCCCTCATAGTGTTTGGCGCTAGGGGACCGTACGTCCTACCTGCGCTGAGGCGTGGTGTTACGGGACCGAGAGAGGGAGAGAGAGAGAGAGAGAGTGTGTGTGAGTGTGAAAAACAGACAGAAAGGAAGTGAGAAAAAAAGTAAGAAAGTAAAAATGAATGGGAGAGAGAGAGAGGGAGACAAAAGTGTGTGTTAGAGAGAGAGACAGAGAGAGAGATGGGAGGGGGGGGGGGTCGTGAGAGAAAGAGAGAGATGAACAAATTTACACAAAGGGAATGTTTTGGACAAAAATGAGTAGGATGATAGTATTAATAGTGTGTGTGCTCAGGCGCGTTCTGCAGGCAGACGTGAGTACATTTTTAAGCTTTGCGACCTAAAATAAAATAGGCCCCTTTAAAGCCCCATTTAATGACGCTTGTGAACGCCGGAAATTTACTCACTTTTGCATGAGAGAACACGCCTGAGCACGCACCCAGTCTTGATAGCGCACAAGACGCAAGATCAACTCACATTCAGTGACAATAACAATAACATGAAAAGAAAGGAAAAAAAGACAGCTTGGAAAAGGTAGATGAAAAACAAAGCAAACTATTGTAGAGACTTGACAGGTCGGGTTGTGAACTAAGCACAGACGAATTAAAGTTTATTTGCAAGCGCATTACATATAGTATTATACGCCTGTCCACATTAATAATAAAGCAACATTAGTATAACTGGACTACTTTTGGGCGCAGGTGTCGTGTAACTAAAGTGCGGTCAAAAATTCATTGCGCAACTTTTCCTCAAATATCTCTTTAACGGGAGAATCAATGTCATCTATACTTTGCACAGCAGTTTGTATTTAAAAAATGTCTTAACTGAATCATATTTTTCCCCAACAATTGAGGCTCGATCAAAAAAATGTTCTTCATAAATTTATATATAAAATACTAGGTCTATAAATCGCCGTCACACGAAAAATGTGATTGTTCATTGCACTTCCCGCTTCTCGCACATATTTTGCATACACATGATATGGCCTACGTCATAGCTCGCCAATGATACTTTTTAGTGGCAAAACTTCATTTAAAAATGTTTTTATAATGAACACATTCTTTTTACACTAAAGGATTCCTAAACATACGTTCAATAAGCATGCATGCTATTTTGTGATTGGAAAAAAAATGACAGACTTGCTTTTACAAGCGATATTGCCGGAGCTGTAGAATTTTTAAAATTTGTAGAAACAGTCGACTGGAACTTTTATTAGTACAAGAAATTTTCTAGAATACAGTGTGCATGAGTTTGAAAAATAAAAATATCCACCTGTTAAGACAAATTGATATAAGTCACTGAGCAAAAGTTGGAGGATCTATGTTCGATAGGTAAGGAGATATTTCACAATAAGTTGCGCCGTGCATTTTTGACCACGCTATAGGCATAAGTTGGTATACTGAGAATTTAATCTGCACCCTTTACTCATATTCCACGCAAGGCGTTACATGATTAATGATCTCTTCTCAATCTAATAGCATAATTATATCCTGCCGACCCCATCGTTCGCCCCCACATTCCCTTCGCCAACTCTTTCCACCTCTCTCTCTCTCTCTCTCTCTCTCTCTCTTTCTCTCTCTCTCTCTCTCTCTCTCTCTCTCTCTCTCTCTCTCTCTCTCTCTCCCTCCCTCTCTCTCTCTCTCTCTCTCTCTCTCCCTCCCTCTCCCTCTCCCTCTCTCTTTCTCTCTCTCTCTTTCTCTCTCTCTCTCTCTCTCTACCCCTCCCTCTCTTTGATTTCTTTTATTGACACATAACAACAACTTGGGTGCAGACGTGAGCAAATTTCAAATTCTGGTTCGCCCACAGCCACTGGATGCCTCACAATCGTATTCAGACATTTTAAACATTCTCCTAGTAATAACTCCTTACGTCAAGAGCTTCGTTTAACTGGCCGTTTTCCTCCAGTATTTTTGCAAAGTCCAGATGCATGCATCTCACTGCGTACGGTCCCGTAACACCAAGCCTAAGCGCAGGTAGGACGTACGGTCCCTTAGCGCCAAACACTATGGGGGCGTACGGTCCCCTAGCGCCAAACGCTATTGGGGCGTACGGTCCCCTAACAATAGCCTGTTGCTAATAAGCGAATGGAGTGGCCCATATGTGTGTGTGTGTATCAGTGTGTGTGTAAGGTGTGAACGGGCGAGGGAGGGGGGGCTGGGGGGTTTTTTTAATTACATGAAGGATTTTAGCTTTTGCTGGGTGACTAAATGCAAAATAGGTTACTGCCAAGGTCAAGCAGTCTTGTTTTCTCGCAATACCTTTTGAAGGTATTTTCAAATGAAAAGTATAGTCCAGGAACTTTGCCCCAACCACAACTGAGTGAAGTATCTGAATATTCAGACATTTAAAAATCTCTAGCTCTAAAAATTGAATTCGATGCCAAAAATTATTCTTCCCAGTCCTCGCAGAATGGCAGAATGAAATTATGAAAGGATGACGCCTAAATCTGGCAAATAACTGAAAAATCTCGAGATTTGAAACTGTTCGGAGAAATAGAATAGAGTTCAACTCTATTTTCCAGAGCGTTCGGAAAAATAGTCCCTTCGTTTAAAAAGTGTCCTCAAATTTGGTGGCGCCCTCTTTGAAAAAGTGCGGACTTTGCGAACAGAGTTAGATCTACCCTATTTGTGTGAAAAACAATAAAAGTGAAATTAACAGACTGTGCTTTTTATCCTATTCTTCGTTCTATGGCCGCCGTTTCCATAGCAACTGATTCACAATATATACTTTTTGAATTATTGATTTCAAATCCCCAACAATGTCCCACAGAAATTATGGGCACACTCTAGGCCTTGTAATATAGACCTCAGGTGCCCCACCAGCCCTTAAAAATTTCAAACAATACTCATGCCTTTCTTCCTTTGGTAACAATTGGTTAGTTGGCCAAACCATCAGCCAGTACTTGTAAAAATTAATGTATTACAGTCTCCGCCTGAGATCCCAGTGCTCTGGAGCAAAGAAAATGCAGGATCTTAGCTGACAGACCAAGGGAAAAATCTATGGTGACCCATCTTAAGGCTCACAATCGGTAAAATAGTCCCTCTTCACTCTAAAATGAACTGACATTCCCCCTGAGTGGGTTTATGTTATGACTTATGGCGAGCAAAAAGTGGTCAACGTTGATGACCAAGCACCGTGGCATGAGACATTCATGTCATTTTCACTTATGCTGAACTTCAAGATCTACACGTATCCTGTGGCTCCTCCCCTTGACCCGTCTAAATTTATAGCTTTCCACCTCTGACCAAGTTCCCCGCCTTTGTTATTACACACCATTGTGTTGTGACCACACGAATTAAAATTCAGTCAGTCTAGCAAATTTGGAAAAACAACTGCTGCAATTTTGAAGAAAGAGTTCACAGCTCAATGTGATCTCGCCTGGTGCGAACTTATAGTATAGGCCCTATCCACCCTGTATGTGGTGATGTAGAGAGCTCATACGAGTGGGATGTTTGGGGAAAACTAACATGTCCACATCGGTGTGACCCCATCTGCTCTTGTCTTTCAACTCTGTGCCTAGTTTTGCTAGACAGACTGGTACCCACTTTAGTGTAAATATGTATGGGTTTAATGTCCTATCAACATTATTAGGTATTTAAATTTAAAAAGTGGAACCTCCAGATTTAACGTCCGTCTCTGATCCCAGGACCAGGCCAAATGGGTTGAGGGCCATGGAAATTCTGCTAATTGACCCGAGTTCATGAACACTTGGTCTGGGATTCAAACCAGCCGTTCAAACCAGGCCATCTGCTCCATAATCCAGCAGGATACCAAGTAAGCTAACAGAGTGCCACCATGCATTCAAATTTTAAATGGTGTGGCCACAACACAATGATGCATTATGACATGATAGGGGAACTCAATCAGAAATGAGGGGAGCAGTGAAATGGGATGCTGGTGCACACTTTGTAAGGTGTACAGAATCCTTTAGACATTCTACTATCTTGCTTGTATGAATCCTAATGTTGCTTTCTCTAAAGAAAAAGACCATTTCAACTTCTTTTTTTTTTCTCCAGCCAGAGAAGCCTTCTTTTGAACCAAAGCAAAAGAAATCCAGAGAAGATGATGAAGACACCGGGAATAGTAGAAAGCGAAGACGATTTGATACAAACGCATCCTCTTCCACAGCACTGGATAGTAAAACACGAATGTCAGAGGAAGAAAAAGAAAAAATCCGGCAAATGGTTGAAGCTGAGCCAGATGTAAGTACAGTCAAACCTGCTCTAATGGCCACTTGTCTGGGACAATCACCTGTACAAATAACCACTTCCCACTCCTCCTTCTATGGGTCATATGAGCGAGCGGGACACATGAAGCATTTTCAGTTGGAAAGAATTTCTTTTTAATTTTGGCCAGGTGGCGATCAAAGCATATTCTTATCCATTTTAGGACAACCAAGGGATCTTAAACGTGGGCAACTTGCACACAGGACCTCCGAGATTTTGTCACCCTTATCCGAGAAGGCTTGGCGTTACATTTTACCTACCCCAAAAAAAGGGGTTTGGCTGAGAGACAGCAGTAAGAGGGAGCCAATGAGCAGCTGTAGAAAGACAGAAGAAAGAGTCAGGAGCCTAGAGGAGGGAGCAGAAAGTGGAAATCAAAACAGGCGACAGAACATGATCAGAGAGCAGGAAAGGTGAAAGGAGAAAATCTATTAGAGAAGAAAATTTTCCATCGCTGTCAGGTTTCAAGCCTGGGACTTATTGAATTATTGAATGAGAGGTGAACACCATATCTCTAGACCATGAGAGCCCCCGATAGTAGTTGGAAGTTTGATCTTTTCATTCCCATATATCATGTCTTCAGGACAAGGATTTTTTTGTGGTGGATGGTTGGCCGGTGCTCTGGTGTGGTTTGCACGTTCTTTCCTATCAAACATCTCTGTAGTCTTTATCTTTCCTTCTTTATTTGTGTTTGTTACTACTGTTACTCTTTTATAAAAATAATACCTCTAATCTTCAGCTCTTAAGTATGCCTTAATTGTGTTGCAAGTGTAGTAAAACGTTTATATTATTCTAAAATTAAAAATGTTGTGTGTGTGTGATATCTCCGGAAAAAAAAAAAAATCATGTTCCTATTTTAAATCAGTTCTAGGTGCACAATTGTTGGGTTTTTTTAATGACTTTAAAGCATTACTCTGGGTTTCACATTATATATCACATAAGATCATGTAACTACTCCTGAAAGATGTTTTTCTTACTAAAATTTAGTTGTCTGGCTTGATCCACATATACAAAATAATTGAAAGCTAAATTTTGTAAAAGACTGCACAACATTGAAATTATGTATGACTTTAACGCAATCTGATTGAAGTTTCCTTATATGCATTTATGAAAAGAGTAATTAATTATTTATGTGAACAAAGAGTATGAGTAAAAGCGCAATTAATGATATATATAAAATATATTGTTATTATTGTTCGTATGACACAGGTTGTTTTTCTTTTCTCCCCATCCAGGCAGAAGCTATGGATGAGACAAGTTTCAAGAAACTTCTTCTGCAGTTCGAAAAAAGAGTTTACAAAAACCAGGAAATGCGTATTAAATATCCAGATCTTCCAGAGAAGTATGTTAATTATCTAAGTATGTTGCTATATGTCATAATTGTGTCAATAACAAAGATCCCTCATATCTTAGTGATCTCATCCAGATTTATGTTCCATCTCGATCACTAAAATCAGGCAATCAGTATCTTTTAAGAGTACCTAGAAAAGGGGGTAAAAAATTACCTGAAAGATCGTTAGCCCACTTTGTTCCATCAGTTTGGAACTCTCTTCCCCAACCCTTGAGACATACAACGTCTGAGTCTAAATTTTAAAAATCTTTAAAGACACATTTAATGACATCTTTTTTATGTCAGTAGATTCATGTTCAGTAAAAAGTTATGTAAATGACTATGTATTCATTTAAGTATTTTGCTAATTGCATTGTGTATATTATTCTATTATGTATGTGTATGTGCTCATTTCATAACGATGTGTAAGCGTGCACGTGTGAAGCAAGTATACATGTGTGTGTGCGCGCGCGTGTGTGTGTGTGTGTGTGTGTGTGTGTTGGGCGTGCATGTGTGTGCACATGTGTGCATGTATGAGTGTGTGTTTGTGTGTGTGTGTGTGTATGAGTGTGTGTGTGTGCGTGTGTGTGTCGCTTGCGTGAATATTGTTCGTACATGCATTTATGTAAAGCGCCTAGAGCTGTGTTTACTCAGGAGTGGGCACTATAGAAATATTTTTATTATTATTATTATTATTATTATTATACATCCTTTTGCGTCTTGTTAAGGCAGCTACACATGTACGTTCCAAACTGCCAGTTCTGAAATGGAAAGGCAAACTTGGCGGCAGAACCGCAGATGTGGATGAAAAATGGCTAGTAAAAAGTTGAACCAGGAGGCCGAATCTGCGGTTTCAACATGTCTGGATTTTCTGACTACAGTTCAGCACGTTCCGTGGACGACAGCCTTTGTGTGACGTCACAGGCTTAGCCGGCTTATCTTGTGACAGCCAATTTCTTCAAAATGATTTACCGCACATAAAATCTGATCACATTTTTTAAACGAGCGACCCAATTTTAAGGCAAGATCGGAACAGAATTTCTGGGAGGGGTTTTAATTAGAGATTTTTTTTTAATTCCCACATAATAATGCATTCACTGAAGGGGTTCAGTACACTCCACCATTTTTTTATTTGACTTGAGCTCATGATGTGGATGGCGCGCCGACATGTCGCACGGCGGTTTTGCGCGGCGGTTTCCACTCCGGTCCCCACTCCGGTTAAAACCGCCAGGTTGGAACGTACATGTGTAGCGGCCTTAAGAGTTTTATTGGCATTTATGTGCTTTTTTTTTGGTCAATAATTAGCAAGAATCTGTGAAGTGCTTGAGGAAGTCACATAGATGAGTTAACATTATGACTACTTGATGACTTTATAACAGGACTCTCATCTCGTGCACTTCACCATGCCTAGAGATATGTTCACTGAGATGTCATTTTTATTGCATTGACAGGTTTAAATTTCTCATATTTTGTTCATATTGTTTACCTTTTCTTTCAGATTCATGGAATCAGAAATAGAATTGAATGAAACAGTTCATGAGATGCACGTTATGGCCACTGTTCCAGAGTACTATCAAATACTTGTAGACCTTCGCTGTGTACAGTCCTTGCTACAACTTATTGGTCATGACAACACAGGTTAGTAAGGAATGCCACTGTTCTAAAAATTTCATCTGGACAGCTTTTAAATGAATGGAAAAAATATTAATATCAGTTATGCCAATGACACAGTTCTAATTGCAAACTCGGGGAAAAAGGACCTTAACATTGCTTCTAGATACCTATTGACAGAAAATGTAGCAACACTACACGCCCAGTGCCGGCAGTACGAAACTGCGGTGGACTTGCCCAAGCCAGAGGTAACCCAGGGAACATGATAATTTATAGCACTGTTTTTTCCGTTAGCTCCATGCGGCATATGCCGGAATTCCGGTTTTTGAAAATAAGCTTTCCAACTTTTCCGGTTTGGGACCAAATATTGTGGACTTCATAAAAATTTCGGAAGTAGTCATTCTCCCAATCCATAGTTTCTTGCTCTTTGCTTTTGGTTACGTTGCTGGTCTGTCTCAGCTTGCCCTACTGGTCAAAATGAGCGTTACACGCCCAGAAATAAACAAATTAGATCTATGTCACGTTACACACTACGACTGCGATGTTATTGATCGGGCAAGACTGCTCTGTGATTTGCCCAGGTTTAGCCGTACTTTGCAAATTGTGACTGGATTTGACATTTTTGGCTTATGTTTGTGGGTCGTTTGGGGCAAGCATGAGCACATCGTGGTCAAACTTTGAAGAGTGATTTTGTCAATGTCAAAAAAAAAAAAAAAGGAAATTCATTCTGTCATTAAATGTAGATAAGATGCACTTAGAATAATATATGTAGCTAACAGAATTTTGAAGTCTGCTAATTGGACAGCTATTTTAATCATCCTGAATACCTTGGAAAACACTGTACTTATGAACTTGGCCATCACCTGGATGCTTCACAAATAAATCTGAATTTCACAAGGAAGGATTGAAGGTTTATCTGTTGGTGGTTGGCAGGTCTCTGATGTGGTTTGCTCCTTCTTTCCTGTCAAACATTTATCATCCTGATCTCTCCTCCTTTTTTGTATTTGTTATTCTCTTGTAACACCTCTAATCTTCGGCACTTATATGACCTTATTGTGTTGCAAGTGCCGTAAAACTCTTACAAAAACTAATAAGGTTTATCTAGCCCTTTGAGCACCATTAGTGGTGAGTCTCAGGTAGAATAACTCAATCACCTTTCTCTTTGTATTCGAAAAACATATTTTTTTATCATTATTATTATCGCCTTTTCTCTCATTTCTAAAAATAGATATCTCCATTGCGGTCATTGATTTGTTGCAAGAATTGACAGACCCCGACATTTTGAATGAAAACGAGGAGACTGCTTCGATTCTTGTGGATGCATTGGTATGTAGCCTAGTTGTGAAATTATTTGAACAGCACTGGAAAGTCATCTTTAAAACTTTCATAAAGAAATGTTTTCTGTGTTTTTTTAAACTATTCCCTCTCTCAAAATTGTTTGCTAATGCTCTTGGCCTGAAACAAGAGTGCCCTATTCACAATGAAAAGATCATTATGCCTCTATGGGTACTGGTACATACATGTATTATTTGTGCAGTAATATTACAATCTAGATATGGTTGCTTTTAAGCACAAGGGGGCCTTCCCGAAAAATGCTGTTGTGAGAAAATCGAAGGTAAAGTTTTTGCCCGTTGTTCAGTTTCTTTAAAAGTCAAGTAGAGTTTTTTTCTATAACCAAACAATTTTACACACCAATGAAACCAAACTTCTCCAATAAGTAGGGCTTAGGGCTATGCCCACTTTTGGTGAATGTCAAGATTTCTGGAAACCCCCGAAATCTGGGTTAGCCCCCTTGTCCTTGAAAGCGACCATATAAAGTAACACATAATGTATGTGACCTTCCAAAGTGATTGCTTATTATGAAATGAATGATCGAGGAAAAATAATATTATTTTGAAAGGAGAAGTTGGTAGAGTAATTTTGTCACTTCTATTCATTTCAGTCAAGGTTTTATCTTTCTGAAGAGCATTTTGCGGTCCTCTCTGTTAAAATAACTTCTATGTTGAAAGGGGCATTAAAATCACAGCGTACTGATAACGTTGTCAACATTTCTGTTCCCCACAGATGGAAGGCCAGGTTGTTGCTGTGTTGGTCAACAATCTGGACCGATTGGATGAGTCTGTGAAAGAAGAATCTGAAGGGGTTCACAATACTCTGGGTAAGTCCTGGAAATGCTGCTGGCTTTGCCTATGTGTCAAAGAGGAATCTCTCTTTTGTGATTCCATCCAAGTCGGATTCAACTGTATGAATAGTCAGCGTGCTACAATAATAGCGTAAAGTGAGATTTAGGACAAAATGCAACTAACCCACTTTTGCCTTCTATGTGTAATGGTCTAGTACCATGTGTTTAAAGGGTGTAAATATGTAAATTAATTTCCAAGTTTTGAGTAAGAAATCTTTGTGGTCTGGATCTGGAAAAGGCATAAAATTTAAAATAAGAAATTTGTCCACAGATTTAGTTAGATGTAAACTGAAAGAATTAATCTTAAAGCCATTATTGTAGTAAGGAAATAGTTTGTTAAAAATTTGAATAGTTATATCAGCATTATTACTCTGTCTGTAATTTTGAAGCTGTAAAACTGAGGGCATTGTTATTTGAAACTTGTTACATATGTCATGTCAAAATATAACGTAGGTGGTTGGCGGGTGCTCTGGTGGGATTTGTTCCTTCTTTCCTATCGAACATCTATCATCCTTATCTCCCCTTCTTCTTTTTTATGTTTGTTACTCTCTTGTGACACCTCTAATCTTCTGGCGCTCATATGACCGTATGCAGTTGCGAGCGCCGTAAAACCTCTACTGAAACTAAAAACCTAAAATATAAACAGTGGTTCTTCATGTTTTTTAAACTGAGTTTGTATGATTCAAAGAATTAGCTCATGACCTCGTTCATCATGCTCATTCTGTAATGTAAATAGACTGTGTCATTTTTTTCTCCCTTATTGCAGCTATAATAGAAAACATGTCTGACTTCAAGCCAGAGATATGCATGGATGCTGCTCAGCAAGGGTTGTTACAGTGGTTGCTAAAACGAATCAGGGTGAGTAACAGATATCAGTTCTTGAATATCTTATGGAATTCTTTAATTATAAACCTTTTCAGCATAATCTTATTGCCATTCCTTCTAAAGTGTCCAATTATATTCAGCTTTGACAAGTGACTGCCAACAAAGATTATTGAACTGCTCATTTCTTTTTTCTTTTTTTTTTTCGTTCTTCAGATGAAGAGTCCATTTGACCAAAACAAGCTCTACAGCAGTGAGATTCTTGCAATATTGTTGCAAGATACAGAAGGTAAAGATTTAGATTCCCCCCCCCCCCCCCCCATCTGTTCAACTTTTTTGTGTTCCTGTAAAATTCAACTGATTTGTGCTCTTGATAATGAAAGGTGTACTGACTGCCCAGAGATGGGTTTGTGAAATCAGGTATGAATATTAACTAAGGTCTACTCCTTTTAAAGTATTTGTGAATGAAGATCCTGCTCCAGGGCAAGCTAATATTTCAATTTTAAAAACAAGGAGGTCAGAAACCTCCTGCATCATGCTCAGACAAAGTGAGAGGGCAAGAGGGAAAACAAAAAGAGGGTGAGGGGTGAGAAAAGCAAATGAAAAAATGGGTTGCTTGGATGATGCCAGACGTATTATGATGTGGTTTAATAAGGTAAGATAAGATACATCTTTATTGTCCAGATCCTGGCATATTGGTTTGGTGTTTCACCACGTGTGTACACACTCACACACACACACACGCACACACACGCACACACAAGCACAAACATGCATACACACGTAGGCTTACAATCACATGCATAATATAAATGAGCAGCAATATAACAATAATAATCGTAAGCTAGGTACTTCAATGTAATATTTTTTCCTGAGATTTGCTTAGTTTTTCAGATGTGATGAGCTTCTCCTTTCAAGGTGGTGAAAGCCCCGTGATGAACAGGTCATAGCAGCTGATATGTTTTAATCTTTAGCAGTGGAGATATCAATGAGTTCCCTGTAACTGACATCAGCGGTGACTATTCTTTTCACAGAGAACAGACAAATGCTGGGTGAACTAGATGGGATTGACATCCTGCTCCAACAGCTTGCTGTAAGTAAATATTGGGCTGCCAACAGAATGCAGTCCATAATACTCCGACGGCCACCTGTATAAAACACTCTTATAAAAATGGCTACTTCTCATTTCCTCCCCTGGATATTTTTATACATTATAATGACAGTGTAAGGCATCTTCCTGTCTAAGACAACCACTCTTCCACCTGTCTGAGATAGCCACTTTTCCCCTCGACAATGAATGGTCGTCTTAGACAATTTTTACTGTACTGATCGTATTTAACAATTCTGGAATCACTTCTTTTTTTATATATAGAAGTCAACATGTTTTGGGGGGGGGGGGGGGGGGTTAACCGTTTTCCTACCTAGTAAATTTACCAGGAGTGGTTTTCCCCCGCCCTGGTAAATTTTGGAATTTTCAAGCTATAAATGTGTATGCTAAGGCATTTCAGTTAAAAGTAGCACATATGGATTGCCTGTGGAATTCCTCTCAGTCTACAGCTGATCAGTTTCTTGTTCTGAACTCTTTTCATTGTCTACATTGACCACCCATACAAGCACTTCTTCTTTTACCACCACCCAGCCCTGTCACAAGTCTCGATCTACATTGAGATACTTGGCTGTGGAAACAAACAATGTCTAAATATCTTTCATGTCACACATAGATTTAGACGAGTTGAAAATAGTGCAAAAGTTTCTTTGGTTTGTTAGGTTTACTTTATCTCTCAAGAAAGCATTATAGTGATTTGTGTACAGGTAGTTCTGTTTTTATGGAATGAGAGAAAATGGGTGGGAATGCTGGCTCTCTTTTTGCAGTTTGTGATCTGTTTGCCTTGTAGAAATGGTCAAACAACTTTCAAACTTTTTGCTGATCTGACTAATTTCATTACGCCTTATACTTTAATCACTTCCATATCATCCCTCCCCAAACCTCCATGAAAATTAACAATGATATATATTGAAAGCGCTTCTCAAGGTTGGCATAGTAAATGTTCAGTTCAGTAAATGTTCTTGTGGCCTAGAGGTTAAGGTGTTCGCCTCTCATTTAATAGGTCCTACGTTGGAATCTGGATAGCGTCAGAAATTTTTTTTCTCTAAAATTGTCTCCTTTCACCTCCTTTCCTGCTCTCTAACAATGTTCTGTCGTCTGCTTTCATCTCCGCTTTTTGCCCCACCCTCTCACCTCATTTGCTCCCTTCTCTGGGTTGCTGACTCTTTCTGCAACCTTTCTATTGCTACTCCTTAGCTCCTTCTTACTACTGTCTTTCAACCACACCCCTGATCTTCTGGTAGGAAAGATCTACACCTAGCCTTATCGGACAATGGCGAAAAATCTCTGAGGTCGCGTGTGCAAGTTACGCACGTTAAAGATCCCTGGGTGATCCAAAATCGATAAGAGTAGGCTTCAATCGCCACCAAGGCAAAATTCGAAATTTCCTTTCAGCTGAAAATGTTTAATGTGTCCTGCACGTTCCCATGACATTATACAGTTGTGAGCACCGTAAAACACTTATGAAAAAAACAAAAGAAAGAATGAAAAAACGTTTCGTTTATTGGGCCTTTTTCTTGGTAATTTGATGCACGCCGACAATATTATTGTGCTTTAACCAGAAATTGTTATTTGAAAATGTCTTGACGGAAAAAAGATCACTTTTATTTTCAGACATTCAAAAAGCATGATCCCACAACCAAAGATGAGATGGAAATGATGGAAAATCTCTTCAACTGCATGTGCTCCGCTTTGGCGTTCCCAGCAAATAGATCCAGATTTCTTCGTGGGGAAGGCTTACAACTGATGAATCTCATGCTCAGGTCAGTGCAAACGCTGACTATTTTTAATTGTTTAAGGGGAGACATACACCCCCTGGAAAATTTTCTAAACGAATGACTTTTATTTACTTTCACATAATTGTGCAAGAAGTTCATAGGTAAATAGGATGCACTAAGGGTGAATTTGTTGATATTTTCTGAAAAATGGGCCCCTGTGGCGGCCATCTTGGATTTTCAAACCAGTTTCTTAATGGAGAAGAATTTCATAGTAGATATTGAATTATCAGCCTGAAATTTGGCACACAGGTACAAACATATATGAACTGGGGATCTATATGAGGATTTTGACCCATCTTCAAAACTAAAAAATGAGCCCAAAGTCAATGGACCCCCAAGAGTCAGTTGACAAAATTTTGGGGTACATATTACCAAAAAAATTGAATATTTCCACATGTTACCAATATTTCCCAATTCCCTCACACAGATCCCCAGAATAGATCTTAAAGCACATGTACGCCAAATTTGAAGCTTCTAGCTTCTTTAGTTTTTGAAAACTCCTTGCACCAAGGAGGTCACATATGTCAAAAAGTAGATTTTGAGAAAAACAGAAAAAAACAAGGATTTTTAAAAGGATTTTTAGTGCAATTTGCACTTTTCAAACGCCCTTTTAGGTCATTTAGGGTGTTTTTTCAACAGTTTCGTCGTTGTGGTCCAATAGAACAGATGTCAAAGGATGTTTTTACGAGAAAAAAACATAAGTTGGATAGTTTGAAAAATTTTATCGATATGGTCTGGGATCGCCGACCTGGGTCTTCCCTTAACATTCATAAGTTTTGTTGTTTAAAATTGTAGTTGTGAATTTGTCATTTTTGCTTTGAGTTCTTTTAAGAAGAAGAAATTATGCAGGGTCTTGGCAAATTCATGCTTAATAAGTTTTGACAATTTCTGTGTGTGCAATTTGTGACTCGGAGTTTCTGCATATTATGTGTCAAAATATCCCATGTTGACTGAAAGTGAAAATACAAGACTTGATTTCTGTCTCCCTGTTTACACCTTATGGCTAACCCTCTCCACTGGACAATACAGTCCAAGGCAATATGCAGAATATGTGGTTATTATAACATCAAGAGGCTAGCCCAGGATAGAGGAAGGTGGAAGGTGTTTGTCCGTGGCCTATACCCTGGTGCAGGGTGAGAAAGGCAATGATGATGATGATTCTTGAAGCGACATATATTTTTTGATAATTTATATGATCAGGTTATCTTCTCAGCCAGGTGTATTGTAGGGGAATCATGTGCTCTGCCTTTGAAATTTCTTCTTTTTTTAATGTCGGTGTTTTTGCGCATCTGTCAACACGATTTAGGTCGTTTAGGAGGAAGGCTTTCGACACTGCCTGTCAGGGCCAACCCATGCTGAGAGGAATGCAATATCCTATCAGAAAGATCGAAATACTTGAAAAAAACGTCCTCCCTATTCGGGAATCAAACTTGGGTCTCCTGCATGGGACAATGAAGCATGTAACTGTTACACCGCAGACGTTGGTGTGAAATTTCCAATTCTGTGTAGTAGGACGTTAGACTTCCGCAACAACAAACAGCAAGAATGTGAACAACCATGCAACGCACCCAGCACACTGTCCAATTGTAAATGTGCAATATATTCAGTAACTTGGTCTTATTTTTCTTGAATGCTCATAGAGTGTTCTCCTAGGTAGACTTAAAACTGACAGTTGTTTATTTCAAAGTTTGCAGTTATGGTAAAATGTTATAATTAGTTTGCCACTTTTATTTTTTCTTTCAGTGCAGTGGTCTGTTTCTAATTCCAGCCATTTCTTCAGCCAAAGCATATGCAAAGTTTATAAAAATAGGTACAATGCAGTAAAATCAGAACTATTGCTTTTTCAGAGAGAAAAAACAGTCCCGGAACAGTGCAGTCAAAGTCTTAAATCACGCAATGACAGGGATTGAGGGACAGGACAATAGTCAGAAGTTTGTGGAGATCCTGGGGCTCCGGAGCATGTTCCCTCTCTTTATGAAGACGCCAAAACAGACAAAGACTGGGCCGACTCAAGATGAACTGGAAGGTAAACCAAGGATTGGATTTGGTAGTTTTGTGACTTTAATTTTAGTTTATGTTTTGGTTTAGCTTTTGCGAGAGTTTTACAGTACTTCCAAACACAAATAGGTCATATAAGTGCCAGAAGTAAGAGTTGTTACTATAGAATAATGTACAAAAAAAGGAGGGGTTGTGAAGAAGGATAATAGTTGTTTGATAGGAAAGAAGGAGCAGACCACACCAGAGCACCCACCAACCACCCACTAAGATGTTTAAGTACTGGTATGTAAGATAATATTCATCTGTGTTCGTAGAAGAATGTGTTCATTTCGATTAAGCTTTACATTGGTTACTGTGGTGATGTAATGTCTTTTTCAAATGGATTATTTATTGGAGAATTACTCTTGGTTTTGTGTAAAAGAACAGGCCTTACTTTAATGCATCGGAAAGAGGCATGATAGAATGTTGCTTCATTCACAGAAGTTGACAGAGGGTAGTGATGAACAGAACAGCATGGTAACGAATCAACTGGATGAGTTCAGGAATCAGCTGAAAAAGAAGATAATTTCTGTCTTTCAAGCGTGCACTATGAATAACATAAAAATGATCCAAGTTGATACTTTTTATCTTCTTTCTATCATTATTGAAATCAGGAGAGGTGATTTTTTGTCATGCTGAAAAATTATTTTTTTAAACTGTTATATGGTTAGAGCGTAACACTGTCAATATGAGTGTTTTGCGGCTTTGACCGTCTGTCGAGATGAAAACAGCGTTTATTATCATGGGTTTGAAAAGTGATGATTTTAAGGAGAAATGTTAGTTACAAGTGATACTATAAAGTGATTAGTCAGCTTTACTAGGGAATGTCTAAATGTTTATACTCTTACTTATTCATACAGAGCATATCTGCTCCATCATTGCTTCAATGCTGAAGAACACCCAGAGCACTCCTCGTCAAAGACTCCTACTCAAGTTCACAGAAAATGATCATGAGAAGGTAGGAAAGTCATCTAAACATAATTTTTATGTATTGTTTAATTATCATAAACTGTATATTATTTGCTGCTGTTTTGCACATGTTTTCAATACTTTTCAATGCTTTATGCAATGCAAAGGATATTTGGGAATTGAACATTCTCTGCTTTACTGGTGTACAAGTTTTTCTTGAAAGGTTCGAAGGTATTTGAGTTTCTTTACTATATTTTGTAATTACAGTGACATGTGAGGATATTTAATGATAAAATGTGTCTGCTTCGAAAGTTGAGGAGTTTTCCCTGCTGATTGATGAATGAATTTTTTATTTCTTGTAAAGGTTGAAAGACTTCTTGAGCTGCATTTCAAGTACCTGGATAAAGTTCGCCAGTGTGATGACCAAATCGAAAGACAAAAAATGGTTTGTGTTGTTTGAAGTTTCTGGAAATCTGTTATTGTGCAAAGAGGAAGACCTTTCTGTACTCTTTTTTAAGAAGAATAGTGACTTTTTGCTGTTTAGTCAGTTTGACTCACTGAAGAGAAAATGTACTTTTGTCCAGGGTGATGGGTTAGAAAAATAGTTCCCAGCATCAAAAGAATAATGCTGTGGTACCATTCAGAAAGATTGGCGAAAGCAGTGACTCTATAAGATTAAGGGGAACCCCCCCCCCCCCCCCAACCCTTTAAAGGTCTTCAATATTGCAAGTTGAAAGGACCTCAGTTTGTTGGTGACCTCCTCTTTTGTTACTTTACTGCCTTGTTCAGGTGTTTTTTTACTCATTATTATTAATGATAGTTGCATTTGCTTCCATGCTTGTCATGAAGTAGTATTGTACTTGTACCTTTTACCTCTGTACAGAATAGACAGTTCGAGCTGAAAATTTTGAGTTTAGAACATTGATTCTATGAAACCCTTTCAAATAGGTCTACTTTGTTCAGTTTTGAAGTCTGATGCTGTACGTGTATATTTTTCTGCATTTTCAATTATTAATAATATCATGTGCTTTCATCATGATGTGATGAATTTTCATATATCAATGTCATTTGCTTTTGTGTGTCTTACCAGCAACTGAAACACAATGGGGAGGAGGTTGATGATGATATGGAGGATGATTTCTACCTCAGACGCCTTGACTCTGGCTTATTTACTCTGCAACTGATTGACTACATCATGCTGGAAACTTGTGCAAGTGGAGCTCCCTCTGTAAGAGATCATTTGGTTTTCTTTCATGGCATCGTTATAAAAAGAATTGATTTATAAATGCTTGCCACCACACAAGTTAAATAATTTAGGAAGCTGTCACTGTAAACTCGGGTTGAGTGGGATACTGCAGTACTAGCAGAAAGACAGAAACTCTTGATAAAATAATCTTTTCCTCACCCAATTTAAGCACACATCTTTTGAGTGCACGGTGAAGAACCTAATCATTAAACGACAGACATGGTGTGCTTTGTCATTGCGTCTTAACTGAAGAGCCCTCCCGAGCACTGTGCGTTTAGGCGAAGACAATTCCTTGATATTTTAGTGATCTCCCTTGGGGGTGGGAGGTCATTTTGGCTGACGACACGTGACTGTTTTGTGAAGGATTCCTTGACCGCTTAAGAATACAATACAAAGGCGTTGAATGGGGGGCAGAAAGACAGACTCAATGTAGTGATACGCACCATAAAATGTTGGGAACAGATATTCTAATATGGGGTGCTCATTGCGGATCGGGTCGGGTAGGGGGCCAATGGGCACCCGGTAAAAGAGGAAACTGTAGGTGATAGTCATAGAGACGACAGTGTAGCCACGTGGCTTATCAAGCAACCACCCTTGACCATAAATTCATGGACAACATCAGAATCGTAGATCTCTGCATTCAGAAAACATTTCTCTTGTGATTGGTGAAACATGTACGTTAAAGTTCTTTGAGCCCAGCTGATATGGCTTACTTGACTAATCTTTAATCCTATAGAGGCCTATCTAGTGTTTTAGAGCGTTCACGGTGTTACGCATCATAGGCCTAGTTCTTACTAAACATTACATGCAGTCTCCCAAACACCAGTCAGAAACCTTCTCTCAAAGATGCATTTCCAGTGACCAATCAAAAAACATTTCAGCACTCCAACCCCCCTACATTTCACCGACCAGTTCTAGACCTATGTGTCTGTTAAAAGTTTAGACCTATGTGTCTGTTAAAAGTTGGGTGTGAAAACGCTGTCCCTCACTCTCTTTGATCGGCGTGAGGAGCAGTCTCACCAAATATCCGGTTTTCTAGGCTTGTCATGCAAGCTGTGGCTGCAGCAAAAATTTCCCCTTGCGAAGCTTTACCTGTTGGCATGTTTTCGAGGAATGATTCAGATCGAAGCGTGCATTTAAAGTTAGTCATTTGTTTTCAAATTAGGTCTCTTCTTCATGGATTTTATGTCAAACAAGCTCCTTTCGAATTAATTGTTTCTGTTCCAAATGCCGGCATTCTAGAGCAAATTGTGTGCGAGATATTTGTTTTTAAAAAGTTGTGCAGTTGTTGTTTTTTTTATCATCCTGTACTCCTTCATTTGATTTCTTTTCCGTTCAAGAAATTCTCAACAGTCTTCCAAGAAACTACATTTCTGTTGCTTCTATTTTATTTTCAGTCTTTAGTGATTGTCTTGCATTCACAACCATGTATATATATAGGACTGACCACACATTGCCTTTTAGAATTTTTATTTTTATAGTCATTGAGCTGTTTCTATTTTTCAGGATGGGGTTAATTTTTTTGATGAAACTTTTTTTAGCCATTGCAATTTTGTTTCACTGTATCCTTTTGATATTCAGAGCGTCTTACAGATTTGACAAAGGTCTAATTTAGTGCTTTCCTTCTATATGTTCTAATGTCATTGCTTCCAGGTATGGCAGATTATCACTACTTGTGTAGTCACAGTGTTACTTAAGATGTGTACTTAAATGTTTTCATGACATCAGCGTATCTTAGTTTGAGAATCGTTTCCCTATCTGGCCCCGCGGAAAATTTCATTTTTGAAATAGAAAAATTGCAAGGTAAACTGCCTAAAAATTGCAACCTTCCCATCCCTGGTGCATTAATACAGGCTTAACATTTTTAGTTTAAAAAACATGACAATTTGAGTACCGGTAGCATAAAAGCAGAACGGCCTTTTAAAAAATCATGACCCACAATACAAATTTTATTAACAAGATTTACTGGTAACAACACTCGAGTACGTTAACAATAAAGTTATCGACCAAATATAATATAATACAGCGTGACACAAAATAATGGAACCCTCGGTTTTCGTAAAAACTTTTAAATGAAGGCATAAAATTTGACCAAATTTAGTACATACCGGGTACTTGGTTCTTGCAAAGATCTAAAAGTGTAGTAAGAGCTTTAGTCTATAAAAACAAAAAAAATTTATAGGAGATTTTCGAAACAACCTCTAAGTCTAAATGCAAAATTAGCTTATGCTCCAATCAATTCAGATCCTGTTCTATTTTTCTCTTGAAACCTTCGATACACCGGTAATCTGTGTTTGGATCTATTTCAGATATTTTCTTTTTTAAAACCAGTATGATATTGTTTTAACACTAAGTCAAATCGTAGAATACAGAACATTTTTTTTTTTCAATTTATAAACAATAGTAATAATAATGTAGATCATTTCTATAGCGCCCACTCCCGTGTGACGCAGCCTAAGGCATTTTACATAACGGAGTGTCTACGTACACTGTAACCGGGCACCTAGCCTCAGTGTCTACGTACACAGTAACCGGCAACCGGTGTCACGTACACGGTAATCGGGCAGTTCAGTTTTGTCATCCGGTGTTGCCTTCTACCCTAGCCCTCTCCCGACTGTACCTTTAATCTTTTTAAAAATAAATAATCCCCCAATTCCGGAGCTCTATACTTCGCAGCGCACAAACTATGAATGAATTTTGGTGACCCCAACCGGTACTCACAATGTGATGCGAAAGCACAGGTTCACTGACCGGTCACGATAGCAGGCCCGACAAGACTCTTGTAAATGTATGACTTTCTTTTTTTTTAACAACAAGTGACAGCACAGGACAAATATTGATTTATTTTCATTCCGGTTACCGTGTACATAGATACTGAGACTAGGTAGCCTACCCGATTACCGCCGTGTATGTAATCACATGCATCATGTACGATTACAAACAAATTCACACGCGCACACACACGTGTACACCTTAGTACACACGCACACACATGCACACCACACACACGCACACGCCTACTTTCTAGCACACGCGCACGCTTACACACATTAGATCTATAGGTGTAGTATCATTGGTCTCAGTTTGTGTTGTATGTATTCCGGCCTGAAGTTCCGGTTATAGCTTTTAGAGTACGCCCAGTAGGCTAGAGTTGGACCGAAACCATACGTAGGCCTATCGGTTATTTACTCGTACCATTTCGTATTAAAAATTCTGTTAAATTTAAAGTGTTGATGTATTTTTGCCTAAAATTGCAAGAAATTGCGAAAATTGCAAAAAATTGTGGGGTTTATTGCGGAACTCGATTAAAGACACGGCCGCACTTGCGCCCGCAAGACTGCGATTTCCTGGGGGGCCAGCCCTATTCACTATTTAGTTACATATATATAAGGTTTTAATTTCTACCTTTGATCACAGATTCATTCCAGAGTAATGCAGATTCTCAACATGAGAGGCGGATCTGTCAAAGTGATCAGAGGAATCATGCGAGGTGAGAAAGTTATTTCTGATGCTCAAAAAGACTCAAAACTTGTTTAATGTGTTTGCTTGTTTTAGTAAGCAAAGACTTGCTATTTTTCAGAATTAAAAAACCAGTTGCAGTTGTACGTTATCCATAATTTCTATGCAGTACTGTGCACTTGACTCACTTCAGACCAGTTTTGACTTTACAAATCAGAAGGAACACCCCTATACTCATACAGTGGAAACCATATATAACAGGCCCGGTAATAACAGGGATCCGGTAATAACTGGAATTTTTAAAATTCCTGTTTTTTCCTACTCTTTTTCTCTATTAAAAGTCATCGGCAATAACAGTGCCTCTTCGGAGTCTAATCGGTTATAGCAGGGACAAAGGCTCATTAACATTGTGTAAAAAGTAAAAGAGAGAGAGAGAGAAACGCCGTGATGGAGCAAGCCACGCCCCTGCAAGCACAATCAGCGGGTGAAGCGAAAGAGTCTGCGGTGTGCTGCAGACTTCGAGCTATCCCTAAGCCTAGCTGCACGCACGCGTAATGTGTCATGTACTCCTGTTCGTGGGTACTTGTGGCAAGGGAAACTACCCATGAATAAATACAGCTGGAGTAGTCCACAAATGCTTACTCTCCTTGCATTTCTGATTTAACGGGGATCTGATATAACAGGACTTTTTCTCTGGTCCCACTATCCCTGTTGTTGTATTAGGTGTCCACTGTACCTGCCATTTTGATCAAATTTAGAAAACCTATGTTGTTTCTCTTTAATTTTTCAATGCAGTGAAGCCAAAAAATTCACTGATTTGTCTTTTTTGCAATACCTTTGGGTCAGATTTGATTTTATAATGAAGGAAAATGGGGCCAATTTGGGTGTAAGGAAAAATATTTTGCTGTTTGGATTGTACCATTTACTACTTTAACAGATACCGATATCATATGTCCCTGTTATATTGAACTCTTAGAGAAAAAAATTTTTTTAACTAACCCTTTTTAGCTTTGGTGAATCTGCTAGATTTGTCTTGATCTAAAAAAAAACATGGTCCTGGTCTATGGAAAATCTGATCTTGAATGATCTAAGAGTATACTGGTGTAGAGTTTATGTCAAGAAATCTTAGTCTTGTTCTATTTTGTCAAAAAGGATGAAAGGGTACAAAATTTGCCAAGTTGATAAAAGGCTAATGCCCCTTTCCACTGATGTGGTTTGGATCAATAAACCATGGTTCATAAAGAAAGCAAATGTAGAGATGTATTATCACTCACTCTTGGTCCTATGCCTTGGAAACAAGAAATCAAGATACAACAGAGTCCATTTAAACCAGACATGGTTAATCTGAGAACAACAGTAAACTGAAAAAAGAAAAATTCCCTGATTTTTATTTTTATTTTGCTTCTTTGTCTTTGTAAGAAAACTTACCAATTAGTCGATAGAAAAGTCTCTGTATCAGGCGTTTCCATGTCAACTCTGTCTTACTGCGATTAGGTTTGCCACATGTAAGTCCATGTTAAATAATCTATTTGTTATAACTTCTCTTTGACTTAATTAATTTCCAGAATATGCAGGGAACATTGGAGATGCCAAAGACCCAGTGGCCAAGGAAGCAGAGCAGGACAGAATATTAGCCCTTGTGGATAAATTTTAACTTCGCCTTTCATTTCATTCGTCACCATTAAAATCATTTTCCACCCTTAGCAACGGAATATGTTTTCTTTTTGTTCCTGTAGTTTAAAGCGCTATTTGTAAAGCCTCATGTAGGTATTTGAATAATCTGATGATGTCACACGCCAATACTAATGTCCTTTTTATAAATTTGTTAAGTGTTTTACTGCGCTCGCAACTGCATATATGGTCATATGATTGCATGGGACACATTAAGCATTTACAGTTTGGTATGAATTAATTGTGGGGACTTTTCTCGGGTAGCGGCAGAAGCCTCCTCTTATCAAATTTAAGATCACCAAGGGATTTTTAATGTTCATCAGGAGGGACCTCCAAGATTTTTTTGCCCTTTTCCGAGAAGGCTAAGTATTCAGTCTTACCTACCCTAAGATCAAGGATGTGGCTGAAAGACAGCAGGAAAAGGAGCAAATGAGTAGCAGTAAAAAGGGGGCAGAAATTGGAGACGAAAGCAGACGACAGAACATGATTAGAGAGCAGGAAAGGAGGGGAAGGGAGACCATTTTTAGGAGAAGAAAATTTTCCCCATCGATGTGAGGGTTCGAACCTGGGACCTATTGAATGAGAGGCAAACAGCATGCCCCTAAACCACAAGAGCCCTTCTATCCATGTCCTCTATTTTAAGTAACAATTACAACCCCAGCGCATAAGATTTCTTCATAAGACACATTTACTTTAATTTTAATAGCATTTATGATATTTCCTTTGGTGATTTGTTGCATTGGACTTTGGTCACAAAGAATGTTCTACTTGAAATTCAAATAAAATAAATCGATGAAGCAGAACATTATGATAAAAAGAATTCCCAGATGTAGTTAATGTAATTGAAAGGCAATACACGTATTAATATGAAGTCTTTTCAACAGCACTTGGCAATATAGTCAATATATCATAGGTTTATGTGTAGATGATGCGTGAGGAGGACCACTGTTCTTCGTAGTCTTCCCAACTGCCATGGTTAAGTTTCAAGGAGGTTCCTAGTACTAGTATTACATGTGCAGGTGAAACGGGCATTTTAATTTAAAGACTGCGAGCTGGCCAGTCCATCCTCCACATGTAAAAAAAAAAAAATGAAATATCAATCTTTCCTCACGCAGTGAACTAACTGTCACATCTGCTGCATGCCTGTGATGAAATGCCCATGTACTAAATTATCTCTAATGAAGTCGTCATAAAAATAGTGTCAAATTCAGAATCAGCGTATCAAAATAAACTCCCAACTCTTTTCTTCTTCTCCGTTAGCTCCGTTTCTATTTTTCGCGAGTATAGTGTATAGTCTATGTAATGTACCAGTGGACCAGGAAAAGTTTATTCAAAGAAAGTGTTAATAACTTCTTTGTTTATTTATGGCTCAATTGACATCAAAATAGTCCGAAAGCTCAAACATACATAATTTGTGTTATGGTGGGTTTTTTTTTTTATTAATTAATCGCTTTTGCACTATGAAAAGATGATAATGCTATTCACCTCTGTACAACATGCTTTTTTTTTTAGACGTATCAGTCAGCGAACAAAATCTCCCAAATCAACCCATGCATTATTTCCTCTGGAATACAGAATGGGTATCTGTAAAAAAAATAACTTTCCAAGTGAAAGTACTGAAAGGTCCATTTCATAATGTGCTGCAAATTTCAAAAGGTTTAGGTCCGTAGAAAATAACTAGAATTTTAAGCCCCAGGTAACTCGCAGTAGGCAGCCTGTAAAATCAACGTAGTCTTGCGTGATTTTGTGAACTCTGACCAAAACTGCGTCATCAGAGTTATGGGGGAGCGTGAGGCTATTAGTTGATGATGAAGTGAAAGGAGAAAGAACTAGCACTTCCAGCTAGGTAGAGCTGGTCCGCATGACGCAAGAGCTGTTCTGGGCATGGTCAACAACTATTAATTTGGTTACAGGACAGTCAGTCCGACTCAGCACAACTGGACCCCAAACAGCCAGGACTTGAGTCCAGTAGAATTTCACCTTTGTGGGTGTATATCGAAGTACAAGATGTGTGGGAAAATGTTCGAAAGTATCCAAGGCTTAAGATAGAAACCATCACAGAAGACACTAGAAAGATTTAATAATAATAAATATAGCATTGGTATAGCGCAAATTCCCGCTCAACAGCAAGCTCTACGCGCTTCACAATCTATACTATTACCCCAGCAGACCTGAGAGCATTCTGAAACAACCTCAACCAGCGTCAACGGTTTATCACCAAGCCCAAAGCCAAAACAGCTCCGGCGTCAGTTTCACTCGGTGTGTGATTTACTCGAAATTAGAGGAAGATATCTTGTAACTTCGTTTGTGGCGGTCATAATTCTAATTTTCATTGTTGGTAATGCATAATAAATCTGGATGGATGTTTGTTCTACATTTCTGTGAACTTTGGTGTTTGTAGCTTTATTCTTAAATAACGGTTTTATTGACATTCTTTTGAACAACTTTTTCTGGTGACCTGGTATATATGTTGGGTGCGCCTTGAGAAAAGTACCAAAAGTCGCCCCAGACCATTTCGAGCTACAGGCTGATAAAGACAAAAATCACTTTTTTTTAACAAAAATGTGTTTCCATGAAGAAAAAAAAGATAGATCCACCATTTTTTTACAATGCTCTCAAAGGGTTTTCATCGATTTGAGTTCAAAATAATTTATTTTGAAGGTAGGGTAAAATAAAAACAAACAATGAAAACTGCTTTTAAAAGGTGTTAAAATCTATTCTTTATGAAGTACATTTTCTCTTCCCTGCTATGTTTTACCACTGAATTCCATTCATGTGATAATGATGTCAACTGAATGCAAAATTGGAAATGAATTTTCCATGAATAAATACATTTTAAAATCTTTTTTTTTTTAAGTCTATATGTGTTTTCACGTTGTTAAACTTAATAGCTCATTTTCTCAAAATTATATTTTCATACCCTACCTTGCAAAATGTGCAATATCTCAAAAACTGCTTGAGATTATATCTAAAAAATTCCAAGACCCCTTTGTTCAGCATTGAATTTCCTAAGGCACTGCCTTAACTCAAAATGGTCAAAATCGACTTTTAGCCATGTAAACACAATATATCCAAAGAATGAACCCTTAACTGAAGTTTTAAATGATTAGGATTGTGAAATTGGTGAGTAAAGTGAGGCAAGACAGGGAATCAAACAGAATTTCGGAAAGTTACTTTTAAAACCCAAAATGAAAAAGGGAACACAAAATACTCTACATATCGGTATGCAAAAATCAAAGTACGGTGAAGGTTAAAATGCAATTTACTTTTATGGCACCATGAAACAAAGAATCAGTTCATGAGCTGAAATAAAAGAATAAAGTATTTCTACCTGTTGCGTTGATCCCCTAATAACAGTAACAGTAACATAGGGATAGTCCTGGATACTTTATCACTCAGAAAAATGAAATGGGGCCATATTCAGAAAAGAAATCTATAAAACAGGAGCTGTCAAAATTGTCAAAACTGATGAATTTATAAACAATTAATTAAGAAACTTCTTGGAGGACCCGTTTAACAAACATTGAGCAATTGCTGCATGTGCATACAGGTCAAACTCAAATTCTTAAGATATATATATATCAGTATGTCTCTCCATATTATTAGGCTTATTCGCTGATGAAAGGTATCACAGTCTATAGAGAGAGTGAACATCATCCCCCCTATATGTGCCCAACTGTTTTTCTCTCACTCCTTCCCTCTTTGTACTCTATCTGTCTGTCCCTCTCTCATCATCACTTCACCCTTTCTCCCTCTTTCATCTAGCTCTATCTCTCTTCTCTCGCTGTGTGTCTTTCCTTTTCCTTGCCTTTAGTTTCAATCAGTTTTATGGCACTTACTACACAAATAGGCCGCAGGCTATACATATTATTATATAAAAGTGCTTAAGATTAGAATTAGAGATGCATCTAGAGAGATATTATTCAAAGTATTCAAAGAAGAGGAGGAAAGATAAATGTAATTGATATTTAATAAATAGGAAAGAAGTGAAGGAGCAAACCACACCAGACCACCTGCTTTCCTCCTTTCTCGCTCTCGCATTGTCAATATGCATGCACTGTATGTATGCAGATCTATATATAAAACAAGTGAACAACGAAAACCTTGCTTTAACCACAATAGATGACTTTCTTTAAACCAAAGAACTTGCATTTTTAACTATACTAAATTATACTCTACTTTGTTTATCAATCACAATAGATGATTATAAATTAAATACTACTTTGAATTAAGCATGATTGTTGGAGGGATCTCCACTGTACAGAGTTTTGAGCATATCCTTGTCCTTGTGTGATACAGATTGCATTCAGTTTGATCACTCTGTCACTGTACATGATAATAAGTAAACTAGTCAAATGATCAGCCACAAGCCAACTGGAGGCCAAACTTTGTCCATGAATTAGCCATGCATGACCTTGAGAAATGCGCTTTATACAACCCCTCCTCATTCGACTCGAAGCTTTTATATTTTTGTTTTCAACGTCTGCTGCGCACAAAACAAACAGCCAGACTCCCCAAAAAGGGGATGGATACAACGTTTGCCTCGTTTCACTTAAACCCGTCCTAGGCCTCAACCAAAACTCTCTTACTCACACTAAATTACAGTTACAGGTAATGTGCCATGATGTGTCTTGATCCCAGCAGTGTGTCTCATTCAATGTCAAAGCAAAAGAAAGGAAAAATGATGCTGATGAGCCTTATAACAAAACAAAACCAAAAAAAAAGAAACGTTTAACATAGCTTTTACTTCAAATCATGACAATGTACACCACCCAACCCTCTTCTGTAATCACTTCCCAATCCAAAGAGCAGAGTCTACCTTCACATACAACCACAATTCACACACCACAATGCCCAATGCACGGCCGCAACACTACATATCTTCCAATATACCGTACCACTACCACCCAGCACCCACCCTCAAATGACTAGATTGAAGAATGGTCTTCCACATCATTCACATAACGGAGGTAATGTGAGATGATGTGTCTCAATACCGGCAGTGTATGTTTCATGCTGTGTGTGGGCATGCCTGGTGGACTCAGGATACTCTTGATTTGGATGGATCTGTTGTTCAGCTTAAGAGTAAAGCCCACAAGGCAATTTGTTAAATTCATCAAGACAATTGGGAAGGAAAATTTGATCGCGTTTTTCAAGAGGAGCTGTTCAACGTGATATATGGGTGTTGGAGAAAAGAGTGTTGCCAATGCTAAGAATAGCGTTCAGTTAGGGAATGACAAATTCTACGAACTATCCTTGATTTCGAGTTTTCTGTGCCCTATATAATTCTATCTTCTACAACAAGTAGCCTAGATCTACATCAAAAACACAAAAATTGATTGAATTTTGGCACAATTTTCATTTTTCGTAATTCTAAAGGGAAAATGCCCACACAAGTCACATTGGTTCAGGCACAAGAGCTAGTCAGCTTTTTTACGCTAAACTGCATAGAAAATTAAATAGAACTGATCAGCGACGTGTTAGACATGATGAATCAGATAATTTAAGTTAATATATACTTTCCCAAATATTTTCTTGCTTGATTAATTAAACACAATTAGTACAACACTTATTCCACAACAAAAACTCAAAACATTATGAAAAAAATCATAGGACATCAAATTTTTATTCAAGGAATTGTGTGGACTGCAGCACAAAAATTACTATAAACAGAAGGCATGTTACCCACCAAATGAAACCTGTCACTTTATCATCAGCTAATCTTTCGTCATGACAAGACTGTAGCTTTTTTTAACATATAGAACAGATGGTATACTGTTTAGAAAGAGAGCTGCACACAAAGAACTAGCAGACAAAAGATGCTAGAACGTAACTTTCAAATTTCTTTCTTCCTACAGCAATATCTATACATAATGTACAAAACCTGTCCATCATCACTTCTCCTAAATAAATAGTTCACATCTTCAAGGAACAAAATGTCTTCCACTCAAGTCTTTACCAGCCATTCACACCATATCACTTGACACTATTACTGCAGGTCAAAATCCCATAAACCTCTTAAATGTGCTTGTATTTCATTACCCAACAACCAAAGTACTTTCATCTAAATACTCATAAGGAGGAACCTCAAGATTGAGGGGAGCTGGGCCTTTGCGGATTCTCCCAGAGCCGTCATAATGGGAGCCATGGCATGGGCAGTAGTAGCCACCAAAGTCTCCAGCATCAGCAATAGGCACACATCCTGCCAATGAAAAAATGAAAATGTAAATTTATTATAAACAGTGAAAGGAGATAAACCATCATACAAGTCTTAAGATCATTAAAATCAATTTCAGATGCTCCACACCAGAATCAGTGCCGGTAACTATTAAAAGAGAACAGAAACAACATTTTTTTTTAGCAGAGTTGCAGAGTCATGAACCTACAGTGGCATCGTTGGCAAGTGCCACTGTCAGTAAGTCAGTGCCTCGCCTTTCTATTTTCCTCAGCAAGCGACCATAAACAGGCCTTACAAGGATGCTACAACAAAGTTTGCACTGGTGTGTAGTGTGCGCCTCGTGTTACTCTTTGGTACCGTAACCAAAGATAGTACAGCCTACCGTAAGATGCTGCACTGGCCCAATTTTGTGAGGCACATCGACTCGTAGCGCCACTAGCAGCGAGCGTGCGACAGTATTTAAACAAACACGGCGGGTGACTCGCAACGTTCATGCTGTAGGCATACTGGCCAGTTTTGTTCAGCAATCGGCCGTTCTAATTCCAGAGGAAAACCCAAATAATTGTCTTTCTTCAGATTCCCAAAGGACGAAAAATGGAAAGACAATGTGAAATTGATTTTTTAATCTAAAGTCTAGATTAGTAGAGCTAAACTAGAGAGATCAGAGTCCAGCCTGTAAGCGTTGTTTACAATCTGCATCACGCGTCCATGACTATGACAAATGTTTTGTACTCTGTACTTTGTTGTGTGAGGGCCCATTCCATTAGGTGTAGAACTAGATTTTAGATGCAAATGTTTTATATGTTTTCTGTGTTGTAGGTTATTATGTAATTTGTTCTTTAGCACAACACAGAGAGATCAGTATTTTGCATATTAACTTGTAACTTTTTATGACGTATGGGCCATTGACCTCGAAAGTCAGTAAAGTCAAATTCAATTCAATTCTCTCTCACCACACATACTCATACACACATGCATGCATGCACGCACGTACGCACGCACACACACACGCACACTATATGTCCTGACCACTTCTGTACATTTTATCATCATAACATGGCCACCATCACAGCATTTTAAGAACCATTCAAACGAGGAGAATCAACTTTGTCTTCCATCTCTTTATTCTAAATTAGCTCTCGATTCTCCTGGATGGCGGGGCCGAAACCGTTTCACCTCCAAATTTGTTTTAAGTAATTTTCATCTGATGAAAAAGTTGCCTTAAAAGTGGTTCGGCGTGATTTATAACACTTAAATCTCAGGGACACACACAGCACGGTAGCACCTCAAGCATATTATTATTCCGTATATGATGAGCTGTGTAGTCGAGGAAAATTGAAAGCACCTAACGAAGGTCCAAAGAGTGCATAGGTGACTGTGTCACCGGGGAAAGTGTGTCGTAAACTTTCACCCCGGCGTTGTCAAGGCTAGGAGAGCGTGAGCCCTTAGAAAAGAGAGAGCGAGTTATTAAGACATATATATACTTTTATGTTGTATTCTTTGTATTTTCTCTCTCTCTCTCTCTCTCCCTCTATCTCTCTCACTCACTCAGTCACCCACTCATCTATCTCTCTGTGTGCATGTTTGTCATTTAATCTGTAGTAGCTTAATAGTTCTGTCCCCCCCTCCCTCCTTCCCATACAGTATATTTATCCTCTGATCTTATCACTCATTATCGAAGTGAGACAATTTTTAAATCTAAAGTTTTTCTTTTTAAATAATTAATTAGATCTAGATAAATATTGAAATACGTTGATCAATATTTTAGTTTTGTAGATAGATAATTATTTAGATCTAGATCTAGATCTAGATTAGAACGGGCCCTAGAGTAGGATTAACTAGGACGCTCACATACTCTACTCTATCCCACATGCCCAGGGCTAAGCCATCGGGGCTCAGTCACATGCTCGCTGGGGGCGTGGCCTATTTTATGAGTGCTACGTTTTTTTTACAGAGGGAAAAAGGCAGCTGCAACATCTTACCGTAGGGTGTAGTATCTTGGCCGTAACTCCAACACCCCCCCCACCTCCCTGTTAGTTTCAAGAATCTAGAGAAGCAACCAGCTTTAAAAAGTAGTATTGTCTTTTACCGCTGACCTCCCCTTGTTATCGACATTTTTATATATCAACATCAAATCCACTTCCCACAGCATATCGATATAAGCGGATTATACTGTAATTGAAGGTCAGGCCCGATGACTTCATTATATCTGAGTTTCAGTATCTAGGCATTCCTTTTCATGTGTTGGCAAAACTTGGCCATAAGCACTATGTAGCAGAGTTCGATTGTTCATTTTACAACCAAAGATACTGAGCATGACATAACCCCCCCCCCCCCCCCCCCCCCATTCTTTCCCTCTGGGTTTTTCAGTTCAAGCCGTAACAGCTAGCCACAAGGAATAGAGAGGGAATATTACTACAAGTCAACAACTTAGTTCAAGAAATTTGGATTCAACATTTTCACTAATATCTGTACACAAATGCACAAAATTCCATTTACCTCTCCAGCATGCCTTTTTCTTGTTTCAATTTGATCATTAAGAACACAGATTGCAGATCTGAAAATTCGCCTGAATAAAACGCTAGTAACTAAACAATTTATATAGTGCAGTAAAAAATGTATTGTCAAATATTTTTTCTACTATCAAACAGACTCTCCAGATTTTGCACAATGGCTTGTATCAACTTGTCATAATAGATCAATATTTTTGTAAACGCCTGTTAACTGTATTCTAGAAAATCCCTTATTAAGTACTAATTAAAAATCCAAGTTAAAAGGCTTACAGCTGGGGCAATATTGCTCTAAAAGCAGTCTGTTATTTTTTTTAAAAATCATGACATTATGCTTATTGAACATATATATTTTGAGAACCTTTAGTGTAAGAAATGTATTCACTATAAAAGTAATTGCTTGTAAGAAATTTTGCCACTAAAAAGTGCCATTGGTAAGCAGTGATGTAGACCATATCATATGCGTAAACAAAATGTTTGTGAGAAGCGGGAAGTGCTGTAAACAATCCCATTTTCCGCATGATGGAGATTTATAGCGCCAATTGTGGAAAAATATGATTACGTTAAGACAAATTGATACAAACTGCTCTGCAAAGTACGGAAACACTGAGTCACCCGATAAAGAGATATTTGAGGATAAGTTGCGCAACAAATTTTTAAACCACACTATAGACTGGCAGTTAGATTCTCCGCTAAATCACTTGCCTAAGTGAGTGCAGACTCCAACAAGCACCAGAAATTTAGGGTTTGATGCTCTGTCTTCATCTGTCTCAGGGTCCCTCAGAGTGCTCAAATCCACCGATCGCTCAGTCTCAATTTCCTCATCGGTTCTGTGTCTCAGAAACAGAGGTTTGCCCCTCCACTTGAAGGTCATGCTGCGTCCCTCGGGGATGTCTGCAAGTTTGATCTCGATCTTGGACAGAGCAACCACATCAGCAGCAGGGCTCAAATTGCTTACAATGCCACGAACAATTGCTTTAGCACTGTAGGTGCAAGCCACCGCACCAGCTGAAAAATTAACAAATACAAAGTATTACAGTCGAACCTGCCCTGACGGCCACCTCTATTAGACGGTCACCTGTACAAACGGCCACTTTCCATTTCCCCCCTTGCGTTTTTTCTATATAATTTAACTGTGTAAAACGGGCACCTGTCCAACGCGGCCGAGGCCACAATAATTTAACACACAACCCCTATAATACTAAGCAATAATACCTGTCTAAGACGGTCACTTTAGTGAATCCATTACGTTTTGTCATAAATTGTGCATTGGCCCCTGGCGTTGTGGGCGAGCCGTCATAATACAACCACCTGTCGTTGTTGTTAGGTAGTCCCTCCAACCGATCATGTTGCGTAGGCCCCTCCCACTGTTGACCAATAGCTACCAATTTTCAGCTGCAGGTGAGTTAGCGTGTGATCCCTCATAACCCATAAGCCCCGCCCAGAACTCATACACAAATCGTAAGTGAGATGAGAAGTAACTGTTTACCCAGTCTGTAACAACGTAACAAAGGACGTCAACATGAACTTGTTACAGAAGCGTCCCTCGTTCTCCGAGTCGACCCAGTCTGTAACAAAGTAACAAAGGACGTCAACATGAACTTGTTACAGAAGCATCCCTCGTTCTCCAAGTGGTGGCGACCCATGTGTTTTTTTTAACATGGCACTCGGTCTTCCTTGTCTGATACATATCATTTTATTGTCACCATTGTGCAAAATCAGCGACAAAATAAAAATTACAAACGAAATACAAACCAACAGCAACAACACCAACAAAGACAACAACAATGGGGCTACTTTCGATTGGGGCCTCAGATGGGAATGGTTTGTTTTCTTTATCTTGATCAGTCCTGCCTAAGACGGCCACCTGTCTCATGCGGCCACTTTTCTCCTTGACAATGGGTAGCCGTCTTACACAGGTTTGACAGTATTTAGGTGTAGTACATACTTCACAGCTGACTCAGTCAAGACTTAATGTAGGCCTACTAGATACTTGTTTTCCCATAACTTGTTCACTTTCGTCTGTCTACATTTAAAACATTCTAGCCCATTAATTAATTTACTTATTCTCAAAAAATTTTGTATGGCACTTCTGTAGATCAGCGACTAAACAAAAATATTTTCTCGAAAGCACATATAAAGAGGATGGCCAACTGAACTGTAGAAATATGGACATCATCCCAAGAAATAGCTGAAGTATACGCATCAGTTGTTTTTTTTGGGATAAATTATAGAGTTGCAACAGAAAGCACATGTCAAAATAACATTTAGTTGTGTAAGTTTTTTTGACAAGTACACATTCTTGGAACTGCATAGAGACCTTGAAGGAACAAGTAATAAATCTAGCACTGATTTAGAAACATTACTGCATCTAAGATAAGAACAGAAACAAGTTTAATAAGAAAACACCTGCTTACCTCCAACAACCAGATAAGATGTCAGTTTTCTCTGACTGTCAGTGGCCTTGTGAGACGAAGATGAATTTTTAACTTGATCCCTTCTGTAATCCGAAAAATCCGGCACCTTCAGGTCAGTGTGTGCAAAACGAACTTGTGAAGTTCCTGATCCAAAGATAAAAAAGGGGATATTAACAGAAAGCTAATGAAATGATGAAAAAAAAGGGCTGGCCACTCCTTTCTTTTTTTTTCTTTCTTTTTTTCTTGTTTATTTTAATTTTAATTATTTTCATTTATTGTGTACATTAAGATTTTTGTGGCCAGTGAATTCGGTAACACGGATTACCATACAAAATTTGGTGATATTCTTTGTTTGTTTTAGTAGAGGTTTTACGGCGCTCGCAACTGCATAAGGTCATATGAGCGCCAGAAGATTAGAGGTGTTAGTGTTACAAGAGAGTAACAAACATAAAAAAGAAGGAAGGGAGATAAGGAAGATAGATGTTTGATAGGAAAAGAGAAGCAAACCACACCAGAGCACCCACCAACCACCCACTTGGTGATAGTCATGGATTGTGTTGTTTGCACCAAGGTAAAGTTACATTTTATTGAATAACTTTTTTCACAAGCCTTTGCTGTCTCTCTAACATTTCTAAATTCGTCTTTAAAAGACCTTTCCAATTATACAAAATACATAACCCTTTGAAAAAGTCCAAAATCCTGAAAAACACTGGGAAAGTGGGCCCCGTGAAATCCACTTTATCTTTTATAAACAATCTCAGCAATTTTAATTCCATAAATTTTGCTTCTCCTCAAAAGTTGTACACACACACACACACAAGCGCGCACACACACACACATACAGCCCAAGCAGTCGCGATGAAATCAAGTGATGTTGCCCATCGTGCGCTAAGCGGCAAAGTGGGCCCGTCACGGCGAGATCTAGTCAACGGGCGAGGGAGACCCCAGAAGACGACAAAAATAGATGGCGGAAATATGTCATCTATATTTGGGCCAATCACAGAGGTGTGCTAGGTGCTCGCTGTAGCTTCAAGTCTTTCGAACCCCAGATCATTCGTAACAACAAAAGCTTCTAAAAAGGTTATTTAAAGGGGCGTAACTACTCGTAATGTCTTATCAGCTTATGAGAAGGGGTTATTCATGTGTTTGTAATATTTTATTAAATAGAAATCAGTGTCAGCAACTACAAGACGACGACACCGACACCCCCCCCCCACCCTCCAGCCTGGTCCACAGCTCACCTGTCCGAAGAAGATTGGCTGTTTTAACCCTAAATGTGCGTAATTTTAAAACAAAGTACAGGATATTACATGTAAATTATGGAATCACACACATTATAATTTATTAAGGGGCCTGTCAGTGTCAGTACATGTAATCGGTTTTGGTGGAACGTACGCTCTAACATAACACATTTAAATCTATATATAATATATACATGTATATATTTAGAATCTAATGAAGGTAGGAACATCAAATTAAATGACGTTACACTATACAACCCTTTTTTCCCCCAACAAAAAAAAAATTGATAGAAAAACAACACATCAGAACAATAACAAGAAAGAATAAAATACACACTACAAAATAAAACGCCACAAAGAGGGAAAAATAAAAGTAGATCTAACTGTAACGTTCAACAAAACAACGTGGTGACAACAAGTGAGAAAGAGACAAAGTGAAGCAAGGTGAACTTTCGTTCAAAAGTAAAGAGGTTCGATTTCTTTCTTTTTTTTATTTGACTTTTATTCCCCGATTCGGGGACCAAAAAATCGAGCCACGGTTGATTGGTCGCGGCCGCGACGAACGCAGATGCTAGTTCTATGTGTCATTATCAATAACCCTCCGTTGACCTAGATCTAGATAGCACACGAGTGAACACAACACATTAAGTTTAAGAGAAGCACTCTTCATAGGCAACACGTCATATCTGTACATGTAGCGAAAAACTGTTTGGAACTGTAGCTTTTCTTTCTATAAATATTTACTGCGGACATTTTTTGGAACGATTGAACCACATTGTACACGAACAATCTTTGGTAGGACTATACTATAATTATAGATCTATATAATATCCGAAATTTGCGGGAAAGGATGTGATTTCAGGGTGTTCGGAGAAATAGTGCCCAGCTTTATTTAGCAATGCCAATCGGGCTTTCCCGCGCGGCGAAAATTTGGTCCTCGTTTGCGGGCGATTTTGCGGACCCGGCCGAAGAGTAGGTGACTTACTTTGTCAACCTCGGTCTGCTCTATTTCCGAACCAATCCGAATGAAACTCGGCAACTAATCAGAAAATAGGGCAAACTAATGATATGTTGATGTTGAAGTTCGTACACATAAATTAACCTATACTTTTGGTGTCGGGAACACTTTCGTATCGGGTACACCAAAAACTATAAGGAGTTTGAATTTCAACGCCGATATGGTAATAGACCTATTTATCCTCTATAGTGTGCTCAAATTTGAATGTTCTGTGTCAAGTAGTTGTTTAGACCCGATCGTAAATCTACGACTACCCCCGTATCCAAAGCGGCTTCGCACGGAGACCGGCCATTTTCCCCTCACTCTCGCGGCAAATTTATGTGACCTACAAATCCCCGCATGACTATTCCGGGCCCGTTCATTGGTCACTTGAAATAGGGCAATGGCGGGCGCGCGCATCCGGTTGTTTTTCTCTCTATTCCCCTGTAACATCGCAATGGGGGTATTCCGAGGCGAGGTTATCTCGTCTCGGGGTGTTCGCGTCTCAACGAGGAAAAAGAATTTTTAATTGTACGGCATACTAGATTGAATTAACTTATCTTTTACGGTTGGCAAGGTCTAAAGTCATCATAAAAAGCTTTGCAATTATTTAGTCACGCTGCCGACATATATTCTTAAAGATCCCATGTTGTGATACGATGCTATAAATAAAATGGACTCATCCCGACACCCCTTTTTCGCAAAATCGTAATATGTACACCAAAATTTTAATTATAACAAAATAACTACGAAATGGGTAGTAAATCTGACTGCAGAAATGATTTCTACACCCAAAAACTATCGGGTAGCCAAGTTTCTCTCTAACACTCCGATTAGTTACCGACATATCGTCAATTTTCTTACAGAATCTGTTACTGCGTGGTCCACTTTTTAGGAGTATTTTCCTATATGTGGGTCATCCATATTTTGCAGAGCTTTACAACCCCATAACTTTTTTATTTATTAAACGATTCTTAAAATTCAAGAAGCATAATTCTTAGAATTGAAAATTCTTTCTTAGGTACCAAATAAAAAAGGGCTAAAGTGAAAATTTAAATTTTCATTGGCATTGCTACTTTATTTTTCCGAACGTTCGGAGAAATAGTGCTGGCCAAAATTAAATTTTCATTGTTGGCATTGCTACTTCATTGAGACATTGATGGGTTAGAGCTTCCTAATTTTCCGGTTCACTGCATCTATTGAATTCATTCTTTGAACGTTTCCTCTAGATCTACTGTACAAAAGAGGCTATTCATATCGGAGCACCGCGCCGCATCATATCACATTCATTAACTCACTTGCAACTGGGCCCTTTCACCAGTCACAAGCGTTGAAGACTGGCGTTTTTGGGGGTATTTCAATAAATCACCACAACTCTCAGAATTACCCTATTGTAATCATTTTTTGACACAGTAAAGTAACATTCAAGCTTAAACTAATACAAAAAACTAAAGTTGTCCAAGTCTAACACTTTAATTTGTATGACTTTTTAAAAATTGGCATGAATTTGATTTTCCGAAAAATTTCCAGAGACGTGACAAGTAGAATGAAATTCACTGCAACAACAAAAATAAAAGTTCAAAGTGTTCTGGTTTGATTTGTATACATGTGCGAGTGTTTGGTTAAAATATAAAAGCTGGTCTGTGCATTGATTCAGACCCATACACTGAATTACATGAGACAGATGTACGGCACGACGTTGTGATTTCGTTGCGCGAAAAACAACACCGGTACTAGTGCTAGATCTAGCCCTAGAACTACGACTCGGGCCGTGTTCGGGTACATATCCAGGATCCTAACTATTAGACACATCATATTCTGAGACACTAGAACTAGTAAAACGCACAGAAGTACAGAAAACGGTGAAATTATGTGATTCTTGTTCATGCGACTTCTTCGACCGTTACTACAACGCGACTGTCGGATTACTATCAGCTGTATAGAAAAAAAACAAAGCGCGAGTTCCGGTCTGTTCAACCCCAGTTTGGGTCACTGTCCTTCACCTTCAATAACTTAAAAACTACCGGCCCCAGAGATACGAAACGAAGTCTAAGAGTCTAAGTAGCTCAGGCTTGGCCAAACAAGGGTACGAGGCAGGTCTCGCGATCCGTGCGTGATTTGTAGAGCGAAAAAAAAATTCCAAAGTTGGTCACGCAGGGCTTGTGAGACCCGTAGCGAGCGTCGCGGCGGGGTCACGCAACTGTTGTGTGACCCGTCTGAAGTGAGTTAAGCCTACCAGTATTCCTGGAAAAACATTGCACTTAAGCATCGTGCCATCCCGTTGGCTATATTTACATATAGTCACATGATCGGAGGGGGTGTTCCAGTCTGACGTCACACAAACTGGCAACCTTACTTTAAAATAGTTAGCGTCCTTCTATGTTTAATCGATGTTGTACAGTGCTCAATGCAGCTTCATGTGTTTGTCCTTGTTGGCACCTTGGGCTTAGGACTTATGAGACTCAGAATAATGAATTTAGTAAATCCAAACAACCAGTTTTCAATGATACAGTGAAACGATTCTCCCAATAAACAGGGAACAAACACAGACCATCCCCTGCCACACAGCTTACACAAGTCAGTGTCAGTCAGGCCTACCTGCCAGAGAGGAGGACACCTTGAGAGCGCCCAGCTTTGCATCTTGAGAAAGAGAAAAGTTCGTGAGTTTCTTCGCTGGCTGCTGAACAGCAACATTTGAAGCTGCTGCTAAAGTAGGCAGGGAAACCGAAGTGGGGTTTCCCCTCGGCACAACTTTTGTGACAGCTTGAATCAGCTGGGATTTGGGGAGAGACAGGCCTATCATAGTTAGTTTTGTGTTCCTCAAATCTCACTTGGTTAGGCAAAGGACGAATGTCGAATGATGTCACTTCCTGTGCCTTGATTATGAAAACTGGAATTAACATTACAAAACAATTTGTTATAAGATAAGTTTGAGAAACTTCAAAGACAATAATAATTTTCTTTTTTTTTTCAAAGTACTTTCTTTTCTTAAGGTCTGAATTAATATCGAAAAAAAGCTGAATGAATCCAAACGTACTACAAGTGGCATCGCTTCCGATTCACAAATGACCATAGATATTCAAATACATGTAATCTTAACTTAGTAAGTTCTTTAATTCGTCGGAGAAATGAAAGCAGGTACTCAATCGTGCCGCCATCATTCCTGGCAGGCACACTGTAAAAAAAGTGAAATTAAGAGCTGGGGGGGGGGGTCCTTTATTTTTCATTGTAGCCTACAATAACAGTTTATTATTTGACAAGCAAGTTGTCTTGATATCGTACTTTAGATATAGATCTATAGTTTATGAAATAAGTTTTTTCAATGACTAAATCTGATTAATTAGCTGTGAACACTGACGACTATGGTGACCACCAATTTTTTTTTTTCCTCATGGATGCTCTCAAATAACTATCTTTCAGACAAATTCATACAATACCATTTTAGCTAGATCGAGTTGTAATGATTAAAAACTGTTTTCTGACTACACGTAGGCCCTACATCAATTTTTTTTTTAACAAGTCTGATACTATTCTTTTTAGTTTTAATAGAGGTTTTACGGCGCTCGAAACTGGACAAGGTCATATGAGCGCCAAGGGTTGGATGTCAACAGAGAAGTCCTTACTGGGAATCAGACTTACTCTACTCATCTCTCTAGCCTCAACAGTACAACGTCTGGTTCGACTATCAAGGCACCCCGGAAATAGCGGCTCACAAGAGTGTGACAAACATACAAAAGATGTAGAGAAGGACAATAGTAAGGATTAGGAAAGAAAAAGCAGCAGTTCTCTTTTGTAAATCAGGCACAGTTATGAGCGTGACATTAATGAATCAGCCAATTTACAATTACAATGCTACTGTGCATAAGAACTCGAGATGTTATTGTCCCCCCTTTGGAAATGGCCTAAAGACACTTCAGTCAGTAGCAACGCCCAGGTGATACTATTCTCTACAGTCTCGCACACATTATAGGAGATTATA